TATATTCAGTAAGTAACCATGCAAGAATAATAATGGGCCTCTTATCTGTGAGAATGACTTAATAAGCCAGTTATATTAATATCAAACTTAAATCTCTCTTAATGGTACATTATATAGGGATAAATATGGATTCATATTCTTCATATATTTTTATATATCCTAAATATAAATGTAGATTGAAAAAAGTGTATTCTTGATCAGTTAAAAGTTGTAAAAGTCATTTATGGACATGTATAATCAGATCAATAATGATGCTGTTGAACATGGTACAATCTTGCAATTTCAATATTCATTTGTTTCTTTTAGAGCTTGTATGAAATAACATAACATGTATGTACTTCTTATGATTTCTTACACAATGTAATTTTCCACTTAACTTGTCCATGCTAAGTTCATGCAGATAATAATGTAAATATTGGAATTCAAAGAAAACAAGACACAGGGTGAACAATATCACACCCTTGAATAGAAGATAGTTTTCAGGATGGAAATTTAAAATCAATTCATCAAACAGTTCAGCTGGAAACACACAGACAAGACTTTACAGACAAGATTTTAGCATGGAAAATCTAAAACAGCCACCTTAAGGTCAGGGTGCATGCTCAGAATTTTACTGCAACCCTCAATAGGGTCACATGTTATTTTTCAAATTTGAATCACTCCTTGCATTATGTCTATAACTCTCACTTTTGCACAATGAGTGCACTAATGTACCTAGAAAAAAGTAGAAAAAAACCAAGAAAATTCAGTGAAAATTTTCAGAAAGTTTTTTCACTGAATTATCTTGTTTTTTATACATTTTACAAAACAAATATTCTCACCAGTCTTTTCTAGGCTCATAAGTGCACGCTTTGTGCAAAACTGGAAGATGAAGACCATGTGACTCAATTGAGGAATGCAGCAAAATTCCGAACATGCACCATGGCCTTAACATTTATCCAGAATTCCCAAAAGCTAATCAGTTCAAGATTTACATAAAAAAAACACCCCAAAAATAATTCAAATAAATCTATCTCATGGTTTGCCTGGAAAGGAATATAATAAACAAGACTTTACCTACAAGATTGGGACAGAAAATTCAAAATGGCCAACTTAGAGTAGCCTTTACCTTGAATGTCCAAAAACTCAGTTCTAGACTTTCATACAAAGAAAATTTGAAATCAATCAGTCAAACGGTGTACCTTCAAAGGTGTAGACAAAACTAATAAGGACATGGGATAACATGGGACTTCAATTAGGAAGCAATTATAATTTCTAAACATGGGAAAATACCTTATTTTAAGTCTGCCTCACTCCTTTATATTTTGTGATTTATCCTTAATTCTTTTCCTTTATTTCATACTTTGAATGATTTCATGAAATGACAGATATATACTGTAAATACACTGTGCAGTATCCCCAATTTACAGTAGATTGATTGGTTGGAGTTTTTGCATTCATTCGTCAATTTTATCAATTTCATGTCAAACTTTAGGAAATATCTTGTCCTTGAAAGTTTGTGTTCCCTCAACCAAAGGTGTATGACCTCTTGTGAAAATCTCAGATATAAACATGGAAAATATCTATTGCCATCAATCCAGCCGGTTGGAAGAAAAGGATGACACTATAAACAGATGACACTACAAAAGGATGACACTAGATTGAACTTTGCACACTCTTTGTTATGATGTGTTTGTTTACATCTAAAGGTCGCTTGTAGCTATTAAACCCCCAATGAATATCATGTGTATCAGGACTATTCCACTATCCTGTACATAAAATATCAAGTTTGGCCAGGATTTCCCATTTGCCTGTTCATAAGGTATCAAGTTTTGTCATGGAATTGTTTTGAAACATGCTACATTTTAATTCTTTTTTAAATTATATTTGACCTTAGAAGCCAGCTATATGTTTTATAAAAAAAAATTCAAATCCAATATTAGTTTTCACATATTATTTGGAAGAACATTCTTAAAGGTGGTCTCATTGAAGACATATAAATATGGGGAAATGTTACTGCATTCTTGTGCAATTTGTTGAGGCCCATTTGTTGTTACAGGAAAGATATGCATCTGTGTGTCAATGGATTTTCCCTTCCTGATAAATGTTGATGGACTTTAAAACACGCTTCAGCAAATATTCAATAATTATGTAGAAAAAGTGATGGGTTGTATTTTAGATTAATTTCACAATGAAATAGTCATGATAGTTCCGTTAGTTTATTTGTATTCTGTCTTTTTTCTTTGTATTATTTAACTATCTATTTTATCTATTTGCAAGGTTGAAGAAAGATGAATCTTCTTAAGTAGTTTATTGCATGTGATGACACCTTTAAACTATTTAATCATACCATCTAAGAGCTTTATAATTTTGGGGGAATGACCACACTTGACTTAATTTACATAATCGTTTGTAAGTTGAATTAATTCATCAGTTCTTGAATATTTTCATCACGAAAAGCATGTCTCAAGAAAGGTCTGCATACAGTGGCATATGAATCTTGCTTCTAGTATAAGAACAACAACAAATTATATATAAACAAAATAAAAAAATTAGATCTAATATAAAAGATTCATTTAGATGAGATACAGTACTTCAAAAAGAGGATCTGTTCGGACCATTCTACTTATGATGTAATTGGAGACAGGAGGCAAATCTGCAAATTCACAAAGTCTGACAAGATATATTTGGAAACTCCATTGGCCTTCATACGGGGAAACACATTTTGTTATCCTATCAAATGAAGTTTGCATGGATATAGAGAAGCCATCTGTCCATTCGTTTGTTTGTCCAAGGGATTACAAAATACCCACAGTCTATATGCAGTTATGATTTGGGGCAAGCCCAAATCATTAGTCTATCTACCTTCTCTACAAGTTAAACAACGGAAATTTTAATTTGCCAGAGTACCTTTTTTCTATCGGTCTATTCTCCACGAAGATCCTCGTTTCCGCGATTAATCCCTTGCTCTGTGTGACAAAAATAAATAAGTGTTTCTTATCCACAATAGTTTTTCTTCCGATATGCGCTCCAACATTCCAATTGATGATAATTGGCAAGATACTGCAGAATTTCTGTTAACAACAACTTTGCCGGACTGTTTTTCAACTTCCGGTAGTTGACCTAGAAAATCTGCAATCTGATTGGTTGATTAATTTAAAGGTAAATTCAAAATAAAAACGTACCTGGAACACCTGTAATTTCATAATAAAAATTGCAATTTTAGAGAGTTTCAAGCGCAATGTCGGGGTCAGAGCGGTTCAAAGCTATCCATTTCTGAAAAAGAATAAGGTGCGAAATAGTACAAATCTCGCGGGAAGTATCGATCACATGACAAGACGTGACCCAACAGAACTTAGAATTTTTGAAAATTGTCCGGCTAAATTGTTGTAGGAGTTTTTCGGCTTTCATTCACTGGTAAGTGCAGCAATTACACAGATTGTAGTGTCATAGTATCAATTATAGTTATTTACAATTCACAGCCAATTCCCGGAGAAATTTCTTTACTTTTCAGTGTGTAAACGACATTATTAATTTTTTTCAAAATTTCCGTTGTTTAGTTTGTAGAGAAGGTACAGGCCCGTAGCCAGGATTTGCCAAGGGGGGGTTCAATTTTCAAAAAATTCCAGGAGGGGTTCACATTTGACAATTTTGGCCCAAATTAGGCTAAAATCACTTGATAAGTGCTCAAAATGGTCAAAAACTGCATGATTTTGAAAGACTTTTTGGTCGGTGGGGGGAACTCCCCTGGCTGTGGGCCTGAGGTAGATAGACTAATGATTTGGGGCAAGCCCAAATCATAACTGCATATAGACTGTGAAAATACCGGTTGATTTTGATTCATTTTTGATTTTGATTCAATTTTATAGGCTTATGTCTCATAGGTGTAGGACCTCTGTCAAAAAGGAATTTCAATATGGCTGCGCAATTCAAAATGGCCGTCATTTTTTGTAAAATTGTAACTTTTATTATTTTATAATTGTAACTCAAATACTAGAATAGTTAATTTGGTTCCAATTTTATATGCTGATGCCGAGGGACGATGGGGCTCTGCTCAATAAGAAATTGTTTAAGATGGCAGCTGAATTTCAAAATGGCTTTTGATAATGACAGTTTGGGATTCCCTAGACTTGTAGCTATTTTTGCATAAACTACCATGGCAGATCATTAAATTTCTCAAATTACAATATGCATTCATAATAATAACTGTATAATGATGATAGTCTTTTTCAACTCAACCCTTAATGTATCTTAGCTCCTATAATGGTTCCTCTTGCTTTATTCTCATTTTCATCATTTGCATAAGTGAAAGCTAATTTCATATATTTAGCTAAGTATTTGGTCCAAAGGGATTATGAAATATAGAAATCAAGCATTGTCATCTATTTCTCATAACATTTTACAAGTGTCATCCTTTTTTCCACTAGTGTCATCCTTTTGTGGTGTCATCCTTTTATGGTGTCATCCTTTTGTGGTGTCATCCTTTTCTTCCAACCGCAATCCAGCCCTCGCAAGCCTTTGAGAGAACTGTAGTACAGTAACAGTGGAATGCTTTGTGTATACACAATGTACCTGTTAAGGTACAGGTTAAGTATATTTGTCTTAGTCCTAAAAGGATCAGTTAGTACATTGAACTGTTAAAGATATTGGATTATATTTCAGTTTCTAGATGGAAGGGGCACTATGTTGTAACATGTTAAACAATAATTTGAATACTATCCAAAGCTTCTGCATAAATTATATAAGCTTACAAGTACAAGTTCCTTTAACAAACCTCTCAACCATCCTGCAATAAGAGTGATTGTCCTGCGAATTTGATCATTTGGCCTATTAGTGGGATCACGCATAAAAGAAAAGATGATGTTTATAAGCATGAACAGAATACAATGTGACCTGCAAATGTTGGATGCTATCTCAAATAATGTCATTGTAAGATATGGTACACTGTATGTGAAGTAACATTTATACAATTACATTGCAGTCCAAAGTCTTGAAACAAGAATTTTCATTTCAGATATATTGTCAGTAACTATCTGTAAGATATAATAACATTTATACAATCACAGTGCTGTCAAAAAGTCTCAGAACAAGAATTTCATTGCTTTGTCAGTAACTTGAAAATCCCACAATGAATGCAGAAGAATTCAGACAGAGGGGAAAGGAGATGATAGATTATGTTGCAGATTATATAGAAAACATTCAAGAGAGACGTGTGTTTCCAACTGTTGAGCCAGGGTATCTGCATCAGCTTATTCCTGATCATGCCCCTGAAGAAGGGGAGAAATGGGAAGACCTATTTAAGGATATAGAGAGGGTCATTATGCCAGGGGTGAGTACTATTAGAAATAGAGAGGGTCATTATGCCTGGGGAGAGTACTATTAGACATAGAGAGGGTCATTATGCTAGGGGTGAGTACTATTAGATATAAAGAGGGTCATTATTCCAGGGGTGAGTACTATTAGACATAAAGAGGGTCATTATGTCAGGGGTAAGTACTTTTAGACATAGAGAGGTTCATTATGCCAGGGGTGAGTACTATTAGAAATAGAGAGGGTCATTATGCCTGGGGAGAGTACTATTAGACATAGAGGAGGCATTATGCCAGGTGTGAGTACTATTAGATATAAAGAGGGTCATTATGCCAGGGGTGAGTACTATTAGACATAAAGAGGGTCATTATGTCAGGGGTAAGTACTTTTAGACATAGAGAGGTTCATTATGCCAGGGGTGAGTACTATTAGAAATAGAGAGGGTCATTATGCCTGGGGAGAGTACTATTAGACATAAAGAGGGTCATTATGTCAGGGGTAAGTACTTTTAGACAAAGAGAGGTTCATTATGCCAGGGGTGAGTACTATTAGATATAAAGAGGGTCATTATGCCAGGGGTGAGTACTATTAGACATAAAGAGGGTCATTATGTCAGGGGTAAGTACTTTTAGACATAGAGAGGTTCATTATGCCAGGTGTGAGTACTATTAGAAATAGAGAGGGTCATTATGCCGGAGATGAGTACTATTAGACATAAAGAGGGTCATTTTGTAAGGGGTAAGTACTTTTAAACATAGAGAGGTTCATTATGCCAGGGGTGAGTACTATTAGAAATAGAGAGGGTCGTTATGCCAGAGATGAGTACTATTAGACATAAAGAGGGTCATTTTGTAAGGGGTAAGTACTTTTAGACATAGAGAGGTTCATTATGCAAGGGGTGAGTACTATTAGAAATAGAGAGGGTCATTATGCCAGGGATGAATACTATTAGACATAAAGAGGGTCATTTTGTCAGGGGTAAGTACTTTTAGACATAGAGAGGTTCATTATGCCAGGGGTGAGTACTATTAGAAATAGAGAGGGTCATTATGCCAGGGGCGAATACTATTAGACATAAAGAGGGTCATTATGTCAGGGGTAAGTACTTTTAGACATAGAGAGGTTCATTATGCCAGGGGTGAGTACTATTAGAAATAGAGAGGGTCATTATGCCAGAGATGAGTACTATTACAAATAGAGAGGGTTATTATGCCAGGGGTGAGTACTATTCGAAATAGAGAGGGTCGTCATGCCAGGAGTGAGTACTATTAGAAATAGAGAGGGTTATTATGCCAGGGGTGAGTACTATTAGACATGAAGAGGGTCGTCATGCAAGGGGTGAGTACTATTAGAAAAGGAAAGGGTTATTATGCCAGGGGTGAGTACTATTAGACATAGAGAGGTTCATTATGCCAGGGGTGAGTACTATTAGACATAGAGAGGGTCATTATGCCAGGGTTGAGTATTAGTAGAAATAGAGGGTCATCATGCCAGAGGTGAATGCTATTAGACATAGGCTGGAGGGTCATTATTCCAAGGTTGAGTACTAGTTGACATAGAAAGGGTCATTATGCTAGGGGTGGGTACTAATAAATTTTCACTATCATAAAATAGATGTCATGTTCAATTGTTGTTAAAATAAAATAAAAAGAAGTGTTCCATTTAGAATCAAACCTGGGCTGCCTGGGTGAAAGCCAGGAATCCTAACCACTATACCATAATGGACTGACTGGGGGATTCCCAAACAAATATACCAATTAGTTTAAGATAAATATTAATAGGCTATCATTATCAACTTATCTTATTAGCTTTCCTACATGTATCAACAAATTCTAAAACATACAATTAAAAACTTGGACTTGTATTCATGAACGCAAATAATTGGCTACTGGCTACAAGGTGGATTGTAATTTGATGACAATCTCATTAAGTATGAATAGTATCTGCAGTGCATCCCCATTGCTGAAAGCTAAATCAAACCCACTTGCTGACCTAAATAGCAGGTTAATCTGCCTATTTTGCAGCAAGTAACAATGACCTATGATCACTAATTCAACCAAGCGGCTTTACTATAATTGATCATTATAGTTGCATTTATTCTGCTTCATTCAAATATTACTATTTTTTGGCGAAAGGAGTCTGCGAAGGTGCCGCAAAAGCAATGAATGAAGAAATATAATAGGATTAGCTAATTAAGCAAATCCACCTAATTAGCTAATTAGGCAACTTTAATTAGCCTATAATAGCTTATTCCTTAAATTAAGGTTGAAAAAAGTCATTTAAAAGGTAAAATCTTAACATACTTACAATAATTGCTGGTCAGTTGTTATTTCATACTAAACCTGATGAGGTGATAGGGGCTGGGTAGGTGGGTTTTTGCAAAGCAGCTTGACTGTTTGCTGGCTCTAGCTAGTCTAACTGAGGTTCTAACATAATTCTGTGCCTATGTTCTGATGCCTTCATCACAAATTACCTATATACCTACATATAAGCTTCTAATTGGTATACTGCAAATACATTCAAGCATGAATAAAACTCTGCATATTGTAAGCTTAATTAACTAAAGGTCAGCATTGAGTACTGTACTTCGAGGGATAAATAAAACTTAAAGGACCTGTCCAATTTTATATGCCATAATTTGCAAAACAAGCTTAAGCTTTACGGCACCAATTTCAAACTCCTTTTCAATGCTTTTAACTTCATTCAGTTCATAAATCAAATTATTTCATAATTTTCATAAAAAAACCTGCGATCAATGTTCATCGACTAATGGGTTGTTCATTATTTCAACTTCAAAATGACATGTTAATTTATGAAAATTGAGTTAATCCAGTAGCCAAAAACCAGAAATCCACCTTGTAGCCAGTAGCCAATTATTTGCGTTCATGAATACAAGCCCAAGTTTTTGATTGTATGTTTTAGAATTTGTTGATACATGTAGGAAAGCTAATAAGAAGCTGCATTCATGAATACAAACTTAGACTCTGTAATATCATATTATAAGATTATTTCAGGAGTATAGCCAGGATCCGAAAATGGTATATATAAAGCCATTAAATATCTATTTCAGGTGACCCACTGGCATCATCCACAGTTCCATGCCTACTTTCCCACAGCAAACTCTTATCCATCTATATGTGCTGATATTCTCTCTGATGCCATTGCATGCACAGGATTCTCATGGGTAAGTATATGAGGACTTTTAGACTATTATGGATCTATCCCGTGCCAGGTCTATAGTCCTGAGAATGTCCCTTTAGGTTGTCCATCTAATTACAACATGGGAGAATTTTCCATGCCTTACAAACTAAAATTGCCTACCTCAATAAATTCCTGAGTATCTTATCAATCTTTTTTGTGTATGAATCCTCAATCGTATGGGTTCATCGGCAGAATGAGGACTATCCATTTTCATTGATAAAGATTGCACCTTTTTCAAGGTGGCGGTTGGTTTTAGAAGAGGTATCCCCTTATTGACATTCAGGTCTATTAAAGCTTCCCAGAGCCCGGATGCATACCATTTATGGAGAAATTTTGAAGGTTGAAATAAGTTAAATAACTTGTAAAATCGAGATAGTTCTGCAGATAAATCCATAGGATTGGGGATTAACTATATAAAAGGAACCCTAAAATACTCAGGAATTTAATGAGGTAGGTCATTAAATATGAAAGGCTTGGAAAATTCTTTCTTAGGACTATAGTCCTGGGGGTTTACTCCATCCCCTCCTGTGAGTTTAAGTTCATGAAATATCAGAATTAATTAATTTAACATTAATAAAAAACAATTTCTTTATTGCATGGGAAGACTGAGCAAATAAATGTAGACAGTGATCTGATATTTACATGTAAAAATGACAAAAATGATGATTAAATTATCTCTTTGAGGAATGAACTACATGAGTTAGGTATAATAAGTTCTGATTAAAGGGTTATACCTCAGGAGACAACTACTCTAGTACCTCAGTAAGAAACAATATCTCTTACTGGTTTTCTCCCACTATGACACTATGGAGTAAATAATATTTCTACAATAACAGCCTAATTTTAGGCCTGTAGTCCAGCATGTACTGAACTAGAGGTGGTGATGATGGATTGGTTGGCAAAACTGTTGAATCTTCCAGAACAGTTCCTCTCTGGTGGGAAAGGCGGTGGAGTCATACAGGTAATATGAATGGAAATATGGAAAAACATGAAAAGTTTCTAAACCCATAAAGCTCAATTATAGCCCTGCGTGCAGAGTCTAGTTAAACTACACTCTGCCTAGTAGAGACCATATTACAGTTTAGTAGCCCCACCCCCATGACGGGTACCAGTGACAGTTTGGGTAATAAATCACTTTTGACCTATGCGCTGACCTTTCTTCCACCAATCAGCGAGCTTGAAGCAACATACGCCAAAAGCGTTCTAATTAAATATGCGCATGTCATTGGTCAATTCCGGGTTCAACGATGACGTCAGAAGGAATGACCATATATAGAACGTCGGTCAAATTTGGCCGAGGAACACTGATTGGCGCGGTGAGTTCACAGGTTTATTTTAGTTTGAAAGAGTGAAGACGAAGCTCTCTTTTAAGAAGTGAAGTCAAACGAATGCAAAGGGTACTCAATTAATTAAATGTCATGTAGTTTCAGTCCACAATATAAATATCATTTCAAAACCAGTAAGTAATTATATGCATACAATTTCAAGATGATCAATGATACAGGGTGAGACAAAAAAGGTAACCCAAACAAATCTGAATAACACAGTTTGTTCATTTGGAATAGACCTATGAAACTTACATGAATGAAACGACATTAAACAAGGTCCAATTGTATCAAATTTGACTTTGAACCCATACTGGATGACTGACTTATCAAAATTTGTTTGAGTTACATTTTTGGCTCACCCTGTACATCTTAGGGTTTTGCATCAGAAGCTCAACTTTGGGTTATAAAATATAAGTAAGACAAAGCAAATATTTTGGTATAGGTCAGGTCATTATTTCAAATCAAATCTTTGAGCATTTGATTTATAGGGTACAGCATCAGAATCAACACTTGTTGCTCTATTGGCCGCCAGGCATAAAGCTGTACATGACTACAGACAAACTCACCCTGATGTTAAGAATGATGAAGAAGTGGCTGCCAAACTCGTGGCTTATTGCTCAGATAATGTAAGGTATACATATATGTATGGACAAATGAAAAGTGTATCCACAGGACAATAATAAACAATAAAATATTAAAAATATGATTTTGTATCTGTATTATCAGATTATCTCAAATTTGTCATTTTACAGGCACATTCCTCTGTTGAACGAGCTGGTCTTCTAGGACATGTGAAAATAATGCAGCTTCCTGCTGATGACAAACATAGTTTACGTGGGGACACACTTCAGGAGGCAATCAACAAAGACAAATCACAGGGACTAATACCATGTTTTGTAAGTGCTAATAGATAGAATATAAAGAAACTATTAATCCATTGAACCAAGAATCATAATAGATGACTTCCTAATATTCTCCCAAGCCTTGGAAAATTCTAAATCCTACGACGAAGCACAAGCATGGCAAAAGAGAAGTTTTCGATTTTCATACTGAGAAATATTCCTAAAGTTCAAAATCTGAGCTAGTCTGTCTAGACATGTGAAGAAATGGGATATTCATATTATATCTTATATTGATCTTGAACAAATAATCGAGGCTCAACTATATATTAAATAAATACATGTATGTATGTGTAATGTATAATAAACATTCATTTTATTTAATATGTTCCATAGGTATGTGCCACATTGGGGACAACATTATCCTGTGGATTTGACAACACAAAAGAGCTGGGAACAGTTTGTAAGTTTTACTTTTTAAAACAAGTATACATCTAAAAGAAAATGAAAACATATAAGAAAAAGACATATTCACAAAGGGAAGTTACTAGTACAATTAGTGTTGTCATTATGACCAGTATCTTATCAATTAATCAAATTTTGAGATGTTTATAAAACCATCCAAATTTTAACTCATCATCTATACAGGTGAGAAAGAAGGGATTTGGATGCACATTGATGCTGCATATGCTGGAAGTGCCTTCATCTGTCCAGAATATAGATACTTACTTGATGGAGTTGAGGTACATATAGAATACTCTTAGTGTTTTTATGATGTTATAGGTGAGAAAGAAGGGATTTGGATGCACATTGATGCTGCATATGCTGGAAGTGCCTTCATCTGTCCAGAATATAGATACTTACTTGATGGAGTTGAGGTACATATAGAATACTCTTAGTGTTTTTATGATGTTATAGGTGAGAAAGAAGGGATTTGGATGCACATTGATGCTGCATATGCTGGAAGTGCCTTCATCTGTCCAGAATATAGATACCTACTCGATGGAGTTGAGGTACGTAGGAAATACTTAGATATTTTTTCCCCTGTCTATGTCGATTAGAATAATACCCAATATCCAAAAGGAGATATTTTTCTCATTTTCTTCTACATTATGTCCATGAATTTTGGAAAAGGGAACAGTAATCCCAGGGGGTTCACTGTATATAAACTTGATGTGGATCCTCGGCGTACATGGGGTACCTTTTTTTTACACTGTCTTGGTAATTTGGCAATGGACCCAAATTTTAGGATCTGGTATGAGAATGCCCCCATATTATGACTTTTGAGCTATGGCAATGGTCAGATTTTTCCACTTTCTGGTATGAAAACGGTCATGGAAAATATGTTATCTCGAACTTGTGGTATGGCATTGGTCTAGTATCTACACATATCCTTAATCTTAGGCTGTTTTGGAACATTTTCCTCAAAGGTCGCCTTCTTCTTGGGACCTTCTTCATTTTAAATATTAGCTTTTTTCCCAGGAATTATTCTACTTTGGACCATGAGTCATAGCATTGGTATACCATTGGTCCTATATGTTGACATTTGGTATGGCTTTTGGGCATTATATTGGTTGGTATGGAAACACATCTAAATTTGACAAATTGGTATGGGAACATGTTGATATCTTAAGGTTCAGCCTCGGACTCCCACCGAATTTTGTATACAGTTCGGGACAATAACAAATTTGAACACTACATAACGTATCCTATGACTTTTTAGAAAATAATTGCGAAAAATGTGTCGAGGTGGGGTCCTAATCCACATACCATACCTAGTTCTTTAGTCTATAGATTTGTATACTATGTTGGCAAATGCATAGTTGAAGTTGATAATGATATTGACTGTGTTACACTTAACTTTCATCATGGTGCAAGCTCAAATACTTGATTTAAACTACCCTGCGCGCAGAGTCTAGTTATAAACTACCCTCTGCCTAGTATAGACTATATTACAGTTTCATAGCTCCATCCTGAAGATTGGTGCTTATGACAGCCCCAGTAATAAATCATTCCAAATTGACCACGCAGACCCTTTCTCAACCAATCAGCGAAGTGGAAGGAACGCATGCTAAATACATGCTCATTAAATATGCGGTGATGTAATATGAAATGACCATACAGAAAGTCGTCCATATTTCGACGACGAACTCTGATTGGCTCGGTGAGATCAGAGATTTATTGTAAACTGAAAGAGTGAAGACGAATCTCTCTTTTAAGAAGTGAAGGTGAACGAATGCAAAGGGTAGATTCAAACCTGTCACGCTGTAAGAAAAACATGATACTCATTTCTTTCATCCTAAACATTTTTTCAGCATGCAATGTCCTTTGACTTCAACCCTCATAAATGGTTACTGGTGAACTTTGACTGCTCAGCAATGTGGTAAGCTGCAATATGTTTTTATGAGACAATTACAGTCTCAGAGAAAACTAGAAAAACAGCAACTCCACGGAGTAGCAAATCCCACCGAACAAAACATATTATGCTTATTATAACTAGTGTAAATGTTGAAATGTTTGTGCACTTTGTGATAGAAGCATGAAATTTGGTACAAAGTTAGTTTATACCATTGTGAACTAGGCATCATCATATAAAATTTGAACCAAATCCGTTCACTGGCATATGAGTTATCAAAGATTACATTTTTTACGAAAATTGGCCGCCATCTTGAAAATTATTATTATTTACAAAGCTACTGTGTCCCTAGGCATAATCATATAAAATTTCAACCAAATCTGTTCACTGGTATTTGAGTTATCAAAGATTATGTCTTTTACGAAAAATTACCGCCATTTTGAAATTAAGCGGCCATCTTGAAATTGTTTTGTCAAACATAGCTACTGTGTCCCTAAGCATCATCATATAAAATTTGAACCAAATCCGTTCACTGGTATTTGAGTTATCAAAGATCACATATTTTTACAAAAAATGGCCGCCATTTTAAAATTAAGCGGCCATCTTGAAAATCTTTTTTTAAGCGAAACTCCTTTGTCCTTAGGCATCAGCATATAAAATTTTAACCAAATCTGTCAACTTGTTTTTGAGTTATCAACGATTACATTTTTACAAAAAATGGCGTCCATTTTGAATTGAGTGGCCATATTGAAAATTCCTTCTCGAGTAGAGGTCCTACACTCATAAGGCATAAGCCTATAACATTTCAACCAAATCCGTCAACCGGTATTGGAGTTATCACCCGGACACACGGACGGACGGACAGACGGACGAACGGACGGACGGACGAACGGAAGGCTTCTCTATATCCCCCTCGAACTTTGTTCGGTGGGATAATGAACTGAAATATCCTTAATTTTACATTTTCCAGAGTTTGAATATGAATTCTGTTCTGCTTTATAGTTTAGGTGTTTTGTGATGTTGCTATTTGTGCAATTTATTTGGTAGTATTCATCATCTACTCAAAATATTCTTTCTCCTTCTGAATGAGACCTCCAATCCATTCATAAGAAATCTTTCCTGAGAACAGTTGTCATACTGGATTTGATTTTTGTTCAGGTTCAAAGATACATCTTATATGGTAGAAGCGTTTAAAGTGGAGCCACTTTATCTTAGGCACAATAATACAGGAAGTGTACCAGACTTCAGGGTAAGTCATTGATACTTTATGAGTTCTGTATGAAGTGGGAGGGAGATCTTCAAAAATCTTCAAATTTAATACACATTCTCAATAGCCGTTATTTTCCAACCAACATGCATTAGTATCATTTTCAGCATTGGCAAATACCATTTGGCAGAAGATTCAGGTCTTTGAAATTGTGGTTTGTACTAAGACTATATGGCGTGAAGGCACTGCAGGAATATATAAGAAAAGTAAGTCCTGAACCAAAATTAATGATTTTCATATCAGCGTCATAAACAATGAAACAATTGTATAAGATCAAAAATGAACATCACATCACATGCGAAGATCATGCAATCAACAGAGCAAGGCATAATAAATCAGCTACTAAGTCAGGAACAGAATGCTCATTAAATTCATGACAAGAAGTCCAGTATTGATAGCTATAGTATTTCATTGTTTTCAGCATATCACATTAGCACATGAGTTTGAAGCCTTAGTGGTAAAAGATGACAGGTTTGAGATCACAGCTGAAGTTATCATGGGACTGGTATGCTTCAGAATAAAGGTAAATTAAATTCACTGTTGAATGATTTAAAAAACTGATTAATGCATGACCTGAAGATTCAAATTATCTTGACTTTTACAACAAAGGATTTTGGAAGTGAAACACAGTCAAAAAAATCCTTCCTTATATTGTTTTTTGTTGTTGTCAAAATGAATGTTTAGCAGGTAAAAATGTTCCCTTTCTTACTGATATTCAAACTGATATTAAATTATTTCAGGGCCCAAATGAGCCAAATGAGAAGCTTCTTAAACTGATCAATGAAGATGGAAGAATCCACCTTGTACCCTCAAAGATTAATGACACATATTTCATCAGATTTGCTGTATGTGCAAAATCAACTGAATCAAAAGATATCACATATGCCTGGAGTGTCATCACTGAACTGGCTACAGGAATAATGGAAAACAACCAATGATAACCCATAGATACTACATATACTGTCTATCAAAAAAAATACTAGCAAATGTACAAATATTTAATACCGTACATAAATAAAAAAAAAGTTCATGATATATATACTTGACACTTATACAAAATTCTATGTCAACTTTTCAACATTGCAATACCCACACCCATTTCTCTGAGGAAGTGACATACAAGACTAGAATGACATTTCGAAAAGAAAAAATCAAACTTAAAGGGTAGCCCTACCTGGAGGCACAGAATACAAAGGCATAACCTCTCTTCAACTTCTGCAGTCTGTTATACTAAACAATGTAAACATCCCATACTGGTCTTTACCTGAAGTTAAATATACTTTCAATGTATTTTATACTAATGCCTCAGTCACATTTGATCTATGGCAACAGTACGGCAGCTGTGGCTTCCCAAAATTGAGAAAAATCTGCATCAAAAAATATAGGGGTAAGCAGTATGATGTACATTTTTATATTGATTTGTGAAGCTACGGCCACTGTACGGCATCCACAGAGCAATTGTGACTGAGGCTTTAACTATCTCATTGTTTTACCTGAATAAAGGGGCAAATGGCTGTAATAGAAAACAGATCCATAGATAAAGTAAACTATGCCACTCACAGTTTCAGGGAAGAAATATTAGTACAATGACGTCATTTCGAAGGGCAATATAGTGAAATATTGGAACGAGAGCCGAAGGCCCAATATTTTACTATATTGCCCGCAGAAATGACGTTATTAGTATTATTACCACCATTAATGACCAGGACTGAAACAGCAAGAAAATCTTACTCACTGAAAGATATCTAATTTCCTGGGAAAAATTGCCAGTCGTTAAATGCATTCTTGACCACCACTATGACGTCACATATTGCTCTGGTCGATATAGTAAAATGAATGCCTTCTAAACTAACACTAAAACCCCAAAAACTGGCCCAGCAAGGTGGTAATAATATATTATCTTATTGCTTATTTTCAAGATCTTCTGACGATTTTGTTTATAAACATTGCTGCATGTGTATTAAAAGTGGAATAGCGGTAAATCTGGAATAATTCCTCAGAAAAACTCTAAAAAAAATCGTTGGTACATTAAACCTGTCCTGGAGAACGGTTATGACCCCAACCCTCTTTTTTATTGAAATACTAGAGTAAAAAAAAATCACTCACCTCGATATTGATGAAAGAAGTTTCAGTTTTGATCGACTGCGAGAGCAAAATTCAAGTTGAGTTAAAAGGTTTTCGTTCAGTGTGACTTTAAAATCATTTTAACTAATTTTGCACCCGATAGAGGGCTTTTGACCTCTTTATAATTATAATATTCCTAGTGAATAACTATTAGAGTTCACGAACCCATTGACCTTTCAGTTCAAATCTAGCCAGCCTAGAGTCAACACCACATTTTAGGATTGTGTGGAATATAATTTATGGAGAGATTGAAAAACATGGAGTTCATGTCATTTGGATTAGAATTAAACTATGTTAAAATTGTGTTGATAGTTTTTTCAAATAAGGCGATTAATAATATTAATAGTATTAAATAATCAACAGGTGAATTTGGGGTCGATATCCTTCGTGTGATTGCTTCTATAATATTAATTTTCCTGCTAAAATGTCAAAGCCAAAACTAAGTTAAAGAAACATCGCCTTAAATTGATATTTTTGAATGAAGGAAGAAAATTTGCACAAAAATCCTAAACTCGGTTTGACGTGTTCTTCATCACTATCTCGTCATTTTGTTGATACATATCGGAACTTATAGTTCACATCCATTTAACCAAGCCACAAAAAAGTATGTAGATAGTTGTTTTAATCAGATAAATATTTTGCATATTCTCCCTTTAAGACATCAGAAATCTAACCAAATATTCTTTGGTTCACCAAAAGATGTCATGGTTTATTGGAAAGGCCTAATGCTGTTGTGTACATGTCTTTGTCACTTTTAACATTTCAAAATAGTTACTGATTAATAGAGGTACCTGATGGATAGTTTCTCATTATTGACCCTCAAGAGGACTTGTTTCTATATCAGTGACCAATTCAGAATTATCTGCTACTGATTGTGTTTATAACTCTTTGAATGACTTGGCAAGTTTGAGTACTGTATAAACTTAGTCAAACACACAACCCCTATAACTGCTTTATTTAATAGATAAATTTACATAACTGTCCATGTTTCCGTAGGGCTGTCCATAAGCCTGAGTAGCAGTAAAATGTAAAATGATCCACTTGAATCTTATATCTAAGTGTCTAAAAGACAATAGATCCTAAAAACCACTCATGTTAAGAACAATATTATATTATGTCATTGGAAACTTATATCTCTATTCTTTTGGTTTTATAACTATATATTTTGAGTTTGGTGTACCATATACACGTGTAATGTTCCTTTCAATGAAAATGTCCAGTAACAATTGCCCAAGGAAAAATTCAGATAAAATGTCACCTACAATTTGTTACATCATCCACAAAATAGAGAGAATATATGTCGCCACTTCTGGTAGGAACCTATAAAGCTCAATGATCTAACCCACAAATACAATTTCAAAAGACCTGCTTGCCTTGCCCAAGGTGGTGTCTTTTTATTTCTTTTAATTCTATTTTCACAACCTTACACAACCATACAATCATCATAAATGTTGTAATCATGGTGCAACCCCTTATGCTCTCGGATTGTGTGTTTGTCTGAATGAATACATGTTTACGATAAAATATTTACAAGAGCCAATAGCTTATCTTATCATGTCATTGAAGAACCGGAGAATAAGATCCTCAAGTATTGGACATAGGTACATTTCATAATTTGAAATAAAGTAGACTTTCAAGTACGAAGCACAAAGGGCAATATTAATATTACAGAACAATTGGACCCCTACAAATAATTCACAAATTATATTTAAAAATACATGTCAAGCATGACCTCAATTCTATTGGTACATGTATAATGTAGGGTAAATGATAATCATCTCAGTTTTCTGCACAATAAAATAACAAATTCAGCAAGCTAAACTCATTAAGATACAAAATACAAACTATTTGACACAAATATTGTGAAAGCCACAAAGTACTGACATCAAGTAAATAAATTTAAAAAAACAGATAAGCAAAGTTAATGGACACAACAGTGTAATATATGAAGCTAATGGAATACATTAGTGCAAGTATTATAATTTTTCGGCTATTCTTGATAAAATGTTTACTTCATAAGAAACAGAGGCAATTGATTGGTAACATACATATTTTATGCATGAATTATTTTGTTTTGAAATAAGTTTAAATGCCTTGTTCTTATGAGACAAAATGCATCATACACAGTCTTTGTTGGAAATATGATCTAAATTTTTTATTTTATTTTCTGGGTTACTTTCAACTAAATATCCTGATCTGTCAATCAACTACTGCAAAAGCTTAGAATTCATGCTATGTCATGATTTTATACAGTATTAATATTGTTCAGACACTATTCCATAAATAATTAAAATGTGTGTGCCATCTAATTTTCAATTGGCTGAAGAGTACAAAACTTTCCACAGGGCCTTTAAAGATTACATAGAATGGTCTTTATCTATGCCCAACAGAGTTCAGTCAAAATTATCAAGAGTAGATATAAATTGGATTGTTGACATGCTTTGTCATATCAGAGGACAACCGAACTAGCATGACTTGTGGAATAATATAAGAGATTTAAGGTAAGCAACAGAAATAATATTTTATATCAGCTAAACCCTAATATGTTTTGATAATGTGAGGTGTTGTACTAAAGATCCTAAGCATATTCAGTTGAAATATATAAATTTGATACATACAGTATTCACATTATAGAGATCTAGGTTGAAAGTAATGTATTTTGTGAATTTTGTTTTCATCTAAGAAGCAAAATGGTAATTTTCTGTACCTGACCCAATATCCCCAGGGTCTAAATTATGTAATACAAAAATATCCATTCTATGCTTCTTCCATTTTAGCAAATTGAGTTTAAGTTTGTATTTTCCTACACATTACAAATTTTAAGTCTCATAAATGTGCAATTTGAGACCTTTGCATAAAGGTTGTTGTTTACCAGGAGGCTAATAAAAGAACATTATGATAAAATGTTTATATCTTTATATTAAGATGGCCAGGCCATAAAGCTTGAAAACATTTTGATCCACCATGTTAGGGAACAAGGGAATAGGGGGATAAGAGACAGTATTATCCCTAAAATTGTATGACAGGATTTCTTAATATTTCCACTCTGAAAAGTTAAATAATCAAATTTCATTTTCAATTTTTTGTATGTTGCAAAGTTATGCACCAAAGTGTAATAAAAATGCATCAAAAATACCATTACTAGGTATACAACATTGAATCCAACAAATGATCCAACTAGCAAAATGTGCCAAAATATGGCTTCACTTAGAGTTCAAAATAAATAAATAAATGTCAAATTGATAAACACAGAGATTAAGATTATTTATCGAGAGAAGTGTGTTATTGCTATGTGTAATGTTTCCAGGATTCAATTAAAGATGGCACCCTCCAAAAAGCCAATTGTGAGAAATGGAGCGTATGAGGAGCAACACCATGCAATGCTTCAGAAGAAGGATATTGAGTATGAAGTCATTGACCCTGCTCTTACTAGATGTGGAATTGGACCTCTAACATGTGCAGCCCTCCAAAAATTTGCTACCATCAAGGTATTCTGTGCGGTACTTTGCTTGGTGACAGTGGTATCAATGATCCAGGGAGTCTACTTAATAGGGGTAATCCGCCAGTTGGAAAAAAGGTTTGGGTTACGAGGTTCCGAGACTGGATTGATATTAAGCATGGATGACTTTGTACACATTGGACTGATATTATTCATAGGGCATATTGGAGATAGGGTCAACAAGCCGAAAGTGATTGCATCTGCAGTGATCTTCACAGCACTTGGAGGATTTCTCATGTCTCTCCCTCACTTCTTATATGAAGGCGAACTCAATGAACAAATGCACAAGTTGAACCCAAACCTGATCAACAAAACCCAACAAGAGAATGCGAGTTTCTCGATGAACTCAGATCAAACGGGTTTATGTCATTTGGGTGTTTTCAATCAAAGTGAACAGGACAGACAATGTCTTTCTGGGGAAAAGCGTTCAGGATTCAGTAAGAATCCTGGTGCCTATGGAATCTTCTTAGCAGCCAAAGTACTCATGGGTATTGGAGGTTCACCAGTTAGTACATATGGAATGACATATATTGATGAAAATGTACCAAAAGTCAGCGATTCTTCATTCTATTTAGGCAAGTGAATTAAGGATTACAAATTTCAATACAATTAATAAATAATAAAAAAAAAAAATACTTAAAATGCGAATTATATTACAACTGTCACAGATTTATCACAATGACATCATACTTATCAATAAAGAAAGAATGATATAACCTGAAAATGTTCCTTTAAAAACCTTTATGCATTCTTCGGACAGAATACTAAATCTTTCATGTGGTCATACGAGTTATATACGTTAAGTATCTATGTGTATTATGTTAAGGAAGATCAATAACAATTTAGGAAAGTGGATCATTTTACAGTTTTCAATTTGCATATGACCATTATATTTTCTATTTTAGTTTGTGTTTTTCAATGTTCCCCTTTCTGTATTTGTTTTTCTTTTTGACCATTTCACTCATATGTTTACAGGTCTGGTCAGAATGACATATGCATGGGGCCCAATACTGGGATTACTGCTTTCTGGTGTTATGGTGAAAATTCCAAATGATTTAAAAGGTAAACCCAATATTGCATATGCTGACAAATAAGGATATGATTATTTTTCAACCAAATATCAATAGAAAAACAATTTCATAGTACAACACCATGGGTTGTATTAGGATAACTAATCATTTTAATGGCACTGAATATTAATACACCATTCCTGGAATCATCAAATAATTTTTCCTGCCATGTAAACTAACATGCATTATTATTTCAGAATCACACTTGACCCCAGAGGATACTGACTTTATAGGAGCCTGGTGGTTGGCATATGTTTTCTTGCCTTTTATACTTTTAATACTAGCCGTTCCACTTGCATTTTTCCCAAAACATTTGCCCCATGCCCGTAAGATCATCAAAGATACAGAGACCAAAGACCATTGGAGGAAGACTCACACTGGCCACACTGTGAAAGATAATCTGAAAGGTACACAATTTTTACTGATTGTTAGAAACAGACAAAAGACATGAAAGAGTTATTAGAATCAGCACAGCTTATTTGGTTGTAAGGTGTATCAATAAATGTATCAACCATGAATTGGTTTCTACTTGATCTTTTCATGAGAGACTTTTCTGGAGAGTGTTAACCAAAAACTATAGTTGCACTGCCTCCAACATAACAGTGTTCTGTTGTTGAACTACTTCATATCATTTACTTTAGTGTGTTCATCACAGCATACATTGAAAAGGTATAATAAACCAGTGCAAATTTTTATTTGAAATTTTCATTCATTTTGTTATTTTCATTTTTATTTCTCTTTTCAAACATGACAAGTACAGTAATTCAAACAGTTCAGTTATTTTTCACACCACCTCCATTCATACAGATATTTGCAACAGTCATACTTTTAAGTTCTGGTACATATAAAAACATATTTTTTTCAAATTGCGTCTCATCCAAATTGTGATTCACCTCGTCAAACTCTTTTGTATAAATATAATATTTAATTGCAAATTTTTATAGGGTTATCAATCATGTTCAATAAACTGTTCTGAGTCATAATGACTCTGTCAAGTTATGTATTTAATGAGGCCATCAGTGTAAATAATATGTTCCTGATAACTTAAGGAGAAATATAACAATTACATGTGTCAACTTTATTTTTAGATTTTTTCTTATCATTTGGTGAGCTGTTAAGAAAACCAGCGTATGTGTGCCTGGTTATAAACTCAACCCTTGGAGTTTATATAATCTACACACTGTTTGTGAATATGCCAAGATATATTGAAGCTCAGTTCCAACAGCCTGTCTTCATCAGTAACATAATATCAGGTAGTGATAAACAGCAATATATAGAAATAATTCTGGGCATAAATGATTACAATAAATTTTGTTGGGGCTCTTTTTTCTTATGTCCAGTTGTGTTCTAAAAAATTTTCTTTTTTTGAATTCTTTTATTTAAACAACTAAATGGATAAAGGGTTAAATTCATCAAATGCAAGAAAATACAAAATGAACTTAAGATATTTCATAAATATTTCACCTCCACAAATAGCATTAATAAAAATCAATGTTTCTTGCTGTATTTTGTAAAGCTCTTTGCTATTTTAACATAATTGAATTACCTTCTTAGGGTCCTCCTCAGCAGTAGCAGGTTCAGTAGGGATATTCCTTGGAGGTTTCATTCTACGTCGTAGAAAATTGAAGCCTCCAGGGGCAGCAAAGATCCTTGCAATAACCCTGTTCTTATCAACAGTTGGATTAGGGGTGGCCATGATCTTCAACTGCCCACAAGATCATTTAGCTGGCTATACACCTGGAGAACCTAAGTATGTAAATGAAGAATTTTTTTATTATAGCGCTTAAAACAATAATATAAGTTTGTGGTACCTAAACGTCTTTATGATTTACCACGTCTAATCAATTTACCGTACATACAAAATTGACAAGTGCTTGAGTTCTTTGTTGTTTTCAGGTTTGTTGTCTTTGCTTTCCCTCGTGAACCAGTAAAAAAATTGCCATATACATGATTTAAGTTTATTCAGTTACATAGAGAATACATCACATAGAACAACATTTACCATGTTTCTGTAGGTGGGAACCCAGTTTGCCTTGTAATGGAAACTGCAGTTGTGACCTAGAGCTCTACAAACCAGTATGTGGCAGTGACAAGAGGAGTTACTACTCTCAATGTTATGCTGGATGTAGCCAACAAACTGGAAAAAGAGTAAGAAAATAAAAAAAAATTATAAAATATTTCAATAATATACAAGAATATGTACAAGCATAACATATTTGGAGAACATACACTATTTTTCAAGTCTCTCTTCCTTCTCATTCTTACATTAAATCATTGCTTTTAGATATTCAAACTAGATATTCTATGGAAGCCAGCAACTCTCCGGAGTAGCAGATCCCAAATGAACGCTATATTCATGTATCTTTATAAATGTATGCCACAATGTAATATTTACCATCTACTTACCCTTGATTAAATTATTGGCAGATACATGTATTAAGTCATACATTTGAGATATATTAGAATTTCCAACGATTTAAGCATTTGGGTGACCACTGAGGAGTTTCAAAGGCACAAATCATAAAGACAATACAATATTTGAGATCAATGTAGTATAATGTAACCATACTTTGAAGAGATCTCTAAGTAATAGCAGATTCTTGCTCAGTAGCCATTTTGAATTGTCTAAGAATCAGAAGAAAACTTTTCACCGATATACATCTTTCCACCAATTTTGAAGCAAATCCATCCACTAGCATTCGAGTTATTTTCATCAAATATATACATGTATATATGATACCATAAAATGTATTCATAATACTTTACATTCACACAATAAACCATTAAAAAATATTGAATTTAATATGAAAAATAAATACAATGAGAGGATGTTGGTGCAAGTACATAAGTTTGCCAAATTGCAGTGACAATGTTACATAAGGATGGCTTATATGCTGCAGATGCAACATATCACTTACGAAAAAAGATGGTGTGGCCACAGACATAGGGCTACATGTACATTTCAAGTTTTTGAACATTTCAAATTGTAATATGGATATCATGCCTCATAACAACTTCCATTTATAACTAACATGGATAATAAAGATATTTGTTTTCATTCTGTAAAAGTTTTCATTCTGTAAAAGTATAACTTCAAGAGTATCCATCTTATTTTACCTTACAGTCATATGATATGTCTTCATTGTAGAGTTTTGCAGACTGTGCGTGTACCAAATCATTGGATAATTCTACTGTATCTTCATACAATTCCACAAGTTCTGCACTGAAAGGGCTGTGTCGTCCTTCATGCATGGCGGTGATACCATTCGCTATTGTACTTGCTGTTGTTGCCTTTATCAATTCCATTGGAGCTGTTCCTTCAACCATTCTGATGTTCAGGTACAGTATTCATTTGCACCCTTGATTGCACTCTACATGATTTTGTTTAGATTTTACACACAATCTTATAATCTATTTACTTTGAATTGGGTCATTTTTTAATTTGGAATTTCCACCATTTCATAGATAGTAATGACTATTTACAGAATACAATATTTACATTTTAATATAAAATCATTTATAATGACTTGTAATTGACCAAATTTTAGTGAAAGTTCTTTCTGAGATTAAATTGGTTGAGAGGAGTGGTTATTTTGTGATCTACATGAATCTTGTATAGATTTATATAATTAATATCTGCGGTCTTTCAACTTTTGGAAATTGATGCTTACATATTCAATTCTAAGAAATATCTGAGATACATTAACACATTGATACCTTCTTATTATCATGTCTATCTGCAAATTAAATTTTTTTGTAGGATCGTGGGAGACAGCAGAAAAGCTTTTGCTCTAGGAGTGAATTCTTTTGTCTACAATTTACTAGGTAGGGTGGTCTTTATATGGTTTATAATTTATCAAGCATAAGAGTGAAGCTTGATTTATGGCAGAATCAATTTGACAAGCAAACTCTAAATAATTTTGAGTATATAGACATATACTCATATGATCATAGTTATTCATTATCTAATTTTTAAAACTCCCCAAAAATTCATACTTTATTCCAGAATAATATCTATATTGTGTATTATCAAACATGTTTGTGAAATTTGACACCAGTTTAAATGATTGAATAAGTTTTGAAGTGATCTTAACAAAGATCTAATACATAATACCATTCCCTAAATTAACAAGAAATACAGAATGTTTCAAAAGTCATAAACTACTTCTAGAAACTAAGTTCAATGTAGTTTGGCAATATAATATCAAGGAATTTGAAGCAAAATAATTAATATTTCATATATTCCAGGATTCATCCCAGGGCCTATAGTTGCAGGCATCATTGTTGACACAACATGTATCGTTTGGCAGAGGAGTTGTGGGAAAACAGGGGGTTGTCTTCTTTACAGTGCAGATTTGCAGAGACAGCGAATGGTTGGGGCTACTGTTGGGGTGAAAATCGTAATACTGGTGTTCAGTTTAATTGTATATGCTCTGGTACGACGTCAACATTGGGATGATGAACCAGATTCAGAAGATCAAAAAGTAAAAATTGAAATGAAAGATCATCATTCAAATGATACGTCCACCAAGAAACTGATGACCAAGAATCATACTGATGCTTAATACAACATTATATGAACTGTTGTATGAAAAAATGGACTACATATAGTCAAGTTGGACTTCTGATATTCAAACATTATAGTCACACAGACAGGGTTGACAACAATCTGAAGTTCTGACTCTGAGTACAGTCCAAGAGTTTTAGCAACTTGAGGTGGAGACTCTTGGATTTTATGACCTCTTTGCTTATTACCAAAATGATCCATTTCCTGGAGAATGAACAGATGTATGTTTAAAACAAGCCAGGGAATAAATCATGCAGTACATATGCTACAAGGTTCTCTACTTTGGTATTATCATTAATTGAAAAATAAACTGAGACTCAAGATAGTTACATCAAATGGATTTACCAGCAAGTATACAGCTGGTTTATAATTCATTGACTGTGAACTACCCTGGATAATTTGATTTGCTTCTATAAAAGAAAACTTCAGGGAATAAACCAAGTTCTGGCACTCCGGGCAGTGAAGTTCAAAAGCATGTTCCTGCCCAAAAGGAGCAAAATAATCATTTATACTGAGCCAAAAAATTCCTGGTGTATCATTGACAAAATACTTTTGACATCTACATGAATAAATCAAACTAAAAAGGTAATGTAATAACATGTAAATACATGAAATACAAGGTTTGATCCCACAGCATCTGCATTTAATTTCATTGTAATTTCTTTTATATAACTTTTTATCCTCCATTCATCTCAAAAGGTGACATATCTTAGCCCAATTTTCACTGGTTTAGGCTTCTAGAGGTGTATTGCCTCTTTAGCAGGACCATTTTTTGAAATTTTCTTCATCTCTGTTTCCTGTTTATTGTTGTTTTTTTCTGTCCCTTTTCTTTGTGGAATATTTTTCTGCATGTATTTAGTTTTTCCTGCTTTTTTCAAATTTTCAAAGTTGATAAAAATGGTTTTCTCCTAGACCTCCTATTTAGAAGAATCTTTCAGACTCTCTTGTGTGTTGACTTATGATGACACAATCAAACTTAAACTGTCAGTGTCTCTTTTTGACATCTACATAAGCATTCATAATCTCTGATAAATACTACAATAATTTATTCATAAAGTTTAAATAACTCATATAAAATATTAAATTAATATTTCTCTAAGAGGGTACACAAACGCTGCTGAATATTCAACAGTTGCGATTTATATGTGTGAGGCAGTTTTGATATTTTCTCTTGTACTTCTTCAAATATTAAAAGTCCATTGTTTATTTTGGATAAACATTCTGTTAAACGTTCATTGTCCTCTGAATGGATTTCCAGGTCTTCCTTTAATCGTTTTGGACAAGGCTGAAATCAAATCCCAATATATAAGAAATTGTATTTGTATATTTGTGAAATTGTAATTGATGCCTCTTAAGGATCTACTTGCTCATCTTGATGCACTATGTGTGTATTAAGGAGGGAGAGCAATAATGATTTCAGCCTAGCTAGGTTATTGTGAATTTATTAAGGTAATAGAAAATAAAATTACAAAATGTAGAACAAAATGCACCTAACTTCATAAATATTCATAATATCACGATACTTATTAATTGATTGGATAACAAAACGAGGAACGTTTAAATACCAACTAATAACCCAAATTGGAAAGTTTTCTCATAGCCTTACTGTTTTCTTCAATTTCTGAAATAGTTTTACTTGGTTTTTCTTATTTCAAGGCAAGTTAATTAAAATGTGGTTTCCTCTTGACCCACTAACTTGTGATCCTACATTGTCCTAAAAACTGAATAATTTCTTTACCTCTGTTCCCTCCGCTTCATCTGGATGAGGGCTTTCTTCAACTTCATTTTCAGCATGAAGAGACTCAGCCATGCATAACTGTTCAATTGGTTGGTTGAGGTACTCCCTTATGGTTTTACATTGTTTCTTGGTGGTTTCTAACTTATCTACACTATCAGCTAGATCAATGGGAATCTAAAGTTAAAAAATCAGTTGGTTTTATTAATACATAAATATAGTTAGATTAAGTCTGGGGATCTTTTAAGGACCTTGTGATGCTTATGTAAAATATGAAAAAATGGTACTTTCCTGTACATTAATAGATTGATTAAGGTAATTTATGGGTTCATGTGAAGTTTTTTGTTTTCAACTTGCATTAAAAATGTACAAAGAAATCAAACTTGCTCAACTTATTTACTCTAATATAAAATAAAATGTTTATTTTACCTTGTTGACAAATTGCACTACAAAATCCCTGTAATCAGGGACAATGTTAAGGGTATCTGGAAGGATGCTCTCATACGGGCTTTCCTCACCAAACTTCGTAAATGCAATAAGAGCACCTGATTGGATGATGAAGTTAGGATCACTGATCAGTATTGAGAAAAGCTCTGGCAATTCATGGATTATTTTTTGTTGCTGCAAAACAGATAATGCTCTATATACATACCTGTAAATATATGTAGTTATAATAGCTTGTATATATGAAGGACGGTCATCTAATAAAAAGAACAGAAAAATTAACATTTTGGGGACTTTCCTGTATTTCCTGCTAGAAAAAATTGAGCTCTGTAAAAGAACAAGGTAAGGCTGAGAGTTTCTAAATCTAGTGGAAAATCATAGAAATTGATCATGTCCTCGTGTATGATATGACGTCACCAGTGATTATCAGTTAGATATATCTGAGATGTATTTAATTACATGTATAATTATTACAGACACACGTGGAATAGAACAACGTGAGTTGCCTTTCCTGTTGGTAATTATAAGTAAAGCAAGAATCAAAAGATTCTGATTTCCAACTAGATTTAGAAATTCTAAGCCTCACCTTGTACTTTTACAGAGCTCTATATTTTCTAGGAGGAATTACATGAAAGCCCCCAAAATGTTGTAGCATGGCCAAATTGACTTACTTCAATTAAAAATTGCCTACACTGTTCTTAAAAAATTGTAGTGTCTTAGTTGCCATGGCTACAAAAAACTTACTTCAACAGATTCTGACAGTGTCATGGTTGCCATGGATAGTAACATGCTGTTCACTGAGAGCTTAAAATAATCTGTAGGTTGATCTAGAATCAATGATATCGTCTCAAGCATCTAAAACATACATCAATTAAGACACAGAGTGAAAAATATATCTCACTTGAGTTAAACATGAATGATCAAGGCACACAGCAGTTTGACTAAAATTGCATTGAAATAATTATACATGTACATTTGAACAAACAAATGTCTTCAAAACCTCCTTATTTTTAAGCATGTCAAAAACCAAGATGGATCAATGTTGTTGCATTGCAATACTAGGGTTTAAAATCTAACATATACATGTATTCAATATTTCCATGACCATCCAGCCAAATCTTTACATTCGACAAATCATTGTAAATCTTCAACAATTGCTACATTTTTTACAATTATCCAAGGGAAATCTGAAAGTCAGAGAACAGTGAAACCTGTATATCCAAACACCTGGCTTATCAGAACACCTTCCAATCTGGACACTCATATTTGAAAGACTAACTTGTTTAACTTGAACACTTTTCACAAAATATCACATATTTCTTACATAATTGCCGAAATATTTTCAATTTAACACTGATTTGTTATGATATCCAACTTTTGGAAAAAACATAAAATGGTCTCGATCATAATAGGTCTTTCTAGCATGACTTTAAGTTCACTTGAATCAGATTTTTGAATGCCATTAAGCTATGTGGTCAGTAGAAATATTAATGTTCCTTGAGAATGCATTTATATTTCTTCAAAATCCAGAATCTTGCGGATGCAAAAACCTTGAAATCCAAACACCAATTTTGGTATTTTATTTTTCCAGATTTTTCATCGAATATATCCTTACCAATCATAAATCAGAATGTAGTCAATAAGCTATTGGTTGTTGGTTTTTTTGAAGTTTTTAGTCACCCTTCCCTTTGGCATTTGCGCTTATATATTCCACATTTGAATGGCATCTTACTTAAAAATAATGAGCTTTGGTTTGAATTTTATATTAACAAGCATACCTAAGCTATTCTAAACATACCTAAGCATTCTAAACAGGTTTACCACAAAAAATCAAGTTGTTTGAAAAAAGTCTGAAATGTGTAGGAACATTAACAGTGATTATCAGCTATTAATTGGTGCTAATGTAATTCTTTATCCAAGAATAACAATTTTTTATATAATTGCTCAATTATTTCTTATTACATATTTTACAATTATCACTAACACACTTGGCAGAGGTACAAGAAGCATCATTAGCTATACTTCAGAGAGATCTCAAAATTCATGAAAATTCCTGATTTCTCAATCCCAGTATACAGCCCCTGGGGGTCAGCGTCAGCCCAAGAAATATGAGATATATGTGAAATAGACTAAAATGTCAAAATCTTTAACATTAATAGCAATAACATCTAAAAATGATCAAAAAACTATATTTTCTCAACCCCCCTCTCCCATTTAACCCCCCCTTTGTGAAATAAATATGTTTTATGGATACACTAGCAACATTTCAAACAGTAATACCCATTGCTTTGGTTCAGGAAATGAAAAACAACTTATTTTTGTGAAAATACATAAATAGGGGTTATGCACTAGGAGGTTTTAGATACAGGGAATATCCCAAGAGATATACAATATATCTTCCCGAGGGCCCGAATATTTTGTATATCCCAAGGGATATATCCTTATCAAAACCAACTGTGCATAACTGTATTCCATACCTGATGAGGTTTGAAATAATAAGCAGATCATCAACAGGCCTGAGTTCCCCCTTAGTGGCCAAGTACTCCTTCAGTACTTGAACATCCAAACAAGTTTTCCTTGCGGTGTGTTCATTTTCTGTGTTTACTTAGAATTCATCCACATTACTTGTTTCAAATCTTAACTTCTGTTCACCCTGTTCATTTGGCACCCCTGTCTTTTGTTTAGTTCAGGGCTGGAACAGTTATGACGTGAATTCCCGGGGTGGGAGATATAGCCATTGTATGTCCCGGAGAACGGCTTATATGCGGGACATACGATTTATATGTCCAGGATCCTCATTTGAGCGGGACATATGAAAAATATTTCCCCAGATATGGAATATATTCCTGGTTGATATGTCCCTGAAACCTCATCAGGTATGGAATACAAACACCTTATTTACCCCTCTCAATATAAATATCTCACTCATGATAATCAATGGGGAATTTAAGGTATCATTGATGTATGTTCAGAACGTGTTTGTTGTTTTCTCTTTGTTAATATGAGTAGGAGTTTGTTCCAAACATGTTCAACGTCAGAGCCACTTGTTCTCAGTATTAATTAAACTAAAAAAAATCTTCTTCCTAGAGTCATTCTGCTATCAAACTTTATTCAAACTCCAAAATTAAATGGACACGGAATCAAAAAAGGTTTATAAATAGATTTAGCATAGAGTTGGCTCCAATGGACCAGTTTTGAAGACAAAACTTCACTAGAATAACTTACTAATGTCCATGTGGTTCTCCAAAAATCAAAACATTGCCTTAACTCTCTTGCATGATTTATGACTTTGAATGTAACAAAATACACAGCATGAACAAAATTTACTATTTAACACTAAATTAATATCAAGAAAACAAGACCAAGTCAGAGAGACAAACTTACTAAATGATTAACCTAGTGAGTTGCAAATAAATGGAAATAGTGAACATTACCTGTTCAGATCTAGTTTAACAATATGAAAATCTAGTACTTAGGCAATACTAACCTGAAGAAGCTGAGCATTGGTCAGTCTATCTGCTCCAATCAAATGACTGGTAAGAGCAACTAGGATGCACCATGCTTTTGTGTGGAGTCCACATGGTCTTGTGATCTTAGTTGGCAGACAGCTCCAGCATTGAGATATTGTTCCTGCTATGAGGACTTGTACTGAGGCCTCAAGACATGACTGCCCACCTTGGCTGTAGATATTCTGAAGACTCGTAAGCGCAATAATCTGTTTAAAATACATCAGGTTCTATCAGTTCATTATTTTATTCATATTGACCTATGCAAGGTCATGTAAATAGAGGCTTAAATATATATTTATACATATGTATATGAAATTGATGACTTCTCCAAGGATTTGATAAATAGTCAAGTTCCTCATATGTGCATGATCTTACAAGCAAATAGCCAAATATGTAAGTATATATGCATATCATGAACTTACCAAATCATTTAAAGATTCCAGAGTTTTATCTGCATTCTCATTCCACGAATGCACTTTTTTGTTTGCTGTAGTTACTATTGTCTCTATCAGCTCAGACAGCAGTCCCGTACTGAATGTGGAAACCTCCATGACACACCACAAATTGATGTTGTTCTCCGGAGGAAAAACTTTGATGAATTCTTCCTAAATATATAAATCAGACTACCGATGAAGATTTGACTTTAGTGATATAATTATAATAGCTTTGCTACAACTTTTAAAAAAATGATCGCCATTCCATCATTTTGAATCACTACACTTAAAACAGTCCTTTGAGTTCCAAGATCTACTTTGGAAAACTTCGAGAAAACTTATGTTACTTATGGAAAATCAACAGTAAAGGACAGCATTTATGTATTTTTTTATATATTTTTTTCATTATTATGTCTCATAAATTCAATTGCAAATTTTGATGTTTATTTAAGATTCTATAAATTTGTAACCCATTGTAAAGTCTAGTTTATATAAATATGAAAAAACTAGACTTTAATACAATGGGTTACACATTTATAGAATCGTAAATAAGAATCAAAATTTACAATTAAATTTATGAGACATAATAATTCAGAATTAAACTCTGGTATAGTCCATAATGAGATTTTACCTGATGCTCAACAGCCATGAATCTGACGAGTCTTCTCAACAAAAATACTAGGTGGTTGTATTCTACACAAGAGTTAGGTTGTAATGTATTCACAAGCCCAGCTATCTGTTGACAGTGGTCCCTACACAGTTCTGATGTGCCATACCTGCAAACATCACAAACCAACATTAACCACTAATAAATGAAAACTTATGAATTACATTTAGAAATAAATAATTGTGTCTACTTTACATTACAAACAGGATTTCCAATAAATTCTGAACCATTTTGGAGAACTGAAGAAACTAGGGATTTATAATGTCATACATTGGCGGCAGTAATGTTTTTTCAACAAAGTTGAATAAGGCAATCCTATTTCTGCGCTGAAATTGGTAAGAATGAAATCATAACCAATCAAAGGATTGATAACAGAATTGGTTTATTATCATACTGTATATAACCAGCGTATAAATGTTACGTATTCATCAAAAATTGTGTCCTGCTGATCGAGACCTGTCAGACATGATTTAATTGTTTGTTCCTCAATGCTAATATAAAATATATTCCTCTCCCTAATATGTTAATTAAAATAAAATTAGTAAAAGTGATAAATGTGTGGCAAAGTGACATGCCACAGTGCTATGTAACGTAACAGGTCCCTAGGTTTAGTACGTAATTATGACAGGTGCCTAGTTTTAGTTCTCAAGAAGAACACTAGTGGCGCTGTAATCGTTTGAAAAAAATGTTGAATGTTTGAAAGGTGATGTGTGTAACCCATTTTCTACATCTATATTACACCCATTTGCCTAATTATATTGTAAGATTTATGTCAAAGTATCTTATCAAGGCTAAGGAGTTGTTTTATTACTGAAAGAAACTATATCTCTGTGTGAATTCATGTTCTAATGATCTCTTTCCAGTACGGAGTTTGCAGTTTTCGTTCGCACATGGCTTTTTTATGGGAAATGTTTATATCTTTACTTAACTAGCATACGATGACATTTTTGTGTCTATTTCTCACATGTTATTATATCCACAATATATTTGTGTACTTTTTATGCCATTTCTAATGGGTTTATCTCAAGCTCATTTCTCATGTACATGTATGTCCTTGGACATGTTGGATAAGTTCACATTACATAACCCAATTCTATATCTTCAAGTGTAATACACTATTTCAATGCAATCTGGGTGATTCAGGTCATAGGTGATGATGTTTGTATGGATTTTGTAGGGATTAATGTAGAGTTACCATACTGGTGAGAATATTTGCAATGATGTTTTAGGGATCCATACTAGAGTTAATACTACATCCAGTCTAGGGATCCATACTGGAGTAAGACTTCAACCAGAGTTATGAGTGTAATGATGTTCTGTGGGTCCATACATGTGAACATAGCACATATCAAGGATCCACACCAGTGGTACTTGGTATATTGTAAGTATAGTATTGCACTTACTTGGTATGTTGTGTCAGTGTACAGGTTAATGGATTGCCACTAAGGTATGGACATTTGTACATACTTACCACAATACCATGCATATTTTAGGGAAGACAATCAGTGCATGGAGTGGACAGGCGCCTACTTTTGTCAACTAGGTTGGATGACTGCACTTGTTTGTTATTTTATGAGTAAATTATACATATGTATATTTTCCTTTATACATGGCGTTTTAGTAGATTTTATGAACATTTTGATACGGTAATTTTATAATCGGAGTAGAGTGCACCATAGTTTGAGTGAGAGTATAGCTTAAAGCATGTCAAGAAAGATCCAATAATTAGTTATTTGTACTATTACTGGAATTTGGAATATGAGATTTTCATATAATATATTGTTTGTGTATTTGCAGGATAGTCCTGTTATCATTTTTGTTACGCACGAGTATATACATACATGTCACAGGTATAATAAACTATGTCATCAACAACAAATACTTGTGTTATGTATGTGTATTGCCCAACTACCAACCACACTTGGCCACAAATAGAATAGCCATTTTGTTGATTAACATACTTATCCAAATATTAGCAATCAGAATTTAAAGAAAAAAAAATGAATGGTTTTGTTGCTATCTAGATAAAAAATTCATTTTGACATCCACCCACCCATCAGCACATGACGCTGACAAAACTACAGTTTTTTTATAAAAATTACCTCACAACAAAACACCATGTATCAATGGCAAGGAGAGCCGTCCGTACATTCCTGCTAAGTACATTGCTGAAGAGACACATCTCCTGGAAATTAATCTTCAATCTTTTATGGCCCTTTTTGACACATATTTGAATAAACGAACCCTTTACTATAATTTATTACTGGTGATAAAGATCATCACACTGTTAAAACAAAGGGTGGAAGGACACCCAACATTACATACTTATTTTACCTCTTCAAGAGACAAATTTCAAATTGTGGTATTAAAAAGGAGATTTTTAAAAAGGATAGAACTTACAAACTGTGTGAAGTGCCTCGAAGGTAGGCTTGCAACAAGCCCACATATCTGAGTTAAGACATGTTCACCTAAATTAACTTTCCTATAAATAAAATGTGACAATTAAATTTATTGTTTGTTTCTGTGAAAATAAAAACAACTTGATGAGAAATAATTGGCGAGAATTACTGATTTCTCCCCAAATAGAATAACACGCCTCTGCTGAAAACTATTTTGTGTGAAAAAACTGACAAGGCATAACATGCAAAATTTTACTACCTGCCATTTGTTACAGGCATGTAAGAAAATTATCCTTGCAGTAAAAAAGAAAAGTCATCATTTCATTGATGGTATGTTGAAATAAGAGATAAATTGGGTAAATGCCTACTTTTGGGTTTACCATTACACATAACTCCATCGACGTATGTAGAAAAAAGAGATAAATTAGGGAAATGCCTACTTTTGTGGTTTACCATTACACATAACTCCATCAACCTTCAGCATCATTCTTTCCTCAGGTTCACCTTAAAATACACCAATTACATTATTAATTGAATATATCCATAATTCATTTAAAATAATCAGATAGTCCTCAAGTAATCACAACATGGATGATTCAGATTATTAGATACATAGCTATAGAAAAATAACCATAATTTTTTTTCCCAAAAATTGGCACCATTTTGATAACAAAAAGTGGATTTTCCAGAATGTCTATAAGTTGTTGACAGATAGACAGAAGGACGACAGACATGCACCCATGTCAGCCAGAAATTAAATTATTGAATAAAATATAGGGATATTACCTTATGAATTCTATTTGAAAACAAAACCTCTATTTTACACCATTCAATTCAACAATTTTCAGAATTTTATTTTGAAAACAAATGTCAAAGAGCTTCTAAATTCATGTATTCTTATATGGGAACCATCCTTAGTTATGGTGGTAGAACCAACTCTGAAAATCAAAGTCGATTAGTTGAGGCACAAGAGTTGAGTTGAAGTCGACTTCTCCGACTTTTCACAAAAAGAAAATTTTAAAAATAAAACATGGTGTTTGGTTTGACGGTAGATGTCAAAGTCATCATCAAATTGTTTAAACAACTTTGTCCAGTTTTAAAGTTGAAAGGGAAATAAAAAGAAGCATTTTAAGTGTTTTGTTTATTACTTTTTAACTGATAATGTATGAAAATATAAGTTTTAATTGTTTTTTATTTTTTTCATTATTAATTTTCGTGGGGATTTAACATTCAATCGACTTTCAGTGAAATGCAAGTTGCTTTGAAAATGTGATTCTAAATTTCTAAATTCATGTATTCTTATGTGCAGATCATCCTAACAGTAACAGTTACAATTAATATTCTTGAAAATTGATTGCTTCATTTCACAAATCAATGAGAAAATACAAAGGATCGATAGCAGATTAAAATTACTATGGAAAATGTGATAAATACTCACAAAGATCATATGCCAGGAACATTGCCTCTATGAGGGTTATTGTAGGTGTACCATAGGGGTCGATATTTTCAGAAAGCCACATGTCTTGAACAATGTCTGGAAATATAGTAATATACAATTTTATGTATATAAGATTTTATTATGCAAAATCCAAAATGGCCACCTTAACATTTACCCAGAATGCCCAAAAACTAATCAGTCCTAATCTTCCATATGCAGAAATATTTCGAATTTAAGTTTAAGATGAATCCCTGAAATGGTTTGGGTGATGGGAAGTTGTGACAAGAATTAACAGAAAAGATTTTATGTAAAAAATATTAGGTAAAAATTGGTCAATATTTTCTGGAGACAAGTTACTTTTTCAACCGTATTTAATCTTTGAAAGGTCATAACTCAGACAATTTCTGAAATTTGTAATGGAAGATTTTACATTAGATACATCCTTGTAATATTTTACTAAATTGATTTGATATTGTAAGTAATTATGTTTATCTATATATATGCAACTGAGATGATGAATGAAGAAATAAATTAATTATCTTAAATATTTAATGCTTGAAGTACTAATTATAGTTAGCAGTTAGACCTCCCCTGAGCAAAATGATGACCTGAAAAGAAAAATGGAAAAAAAATATTTAAGGGGACAGAATGATATAGAAGATCGATTGCATTTAATATTTCACTAATCTGCCTAAATTAAAGGCCAAAGAGCAATATTTTTCACAATATTAGCTGAAGATATTGCACTTCTACTTGAGATATTATAAATACCAAATATGAACAAAATCGCTCCACTACTTTTCGAGTTACAGCAAAAATTGTAAAATAGTGAGTAAAGGCCGCCAATTTTCAAGATGGCTGACATTTGCTGACATGTGCTTCTTTAATATCTACATTTCTAGCTTTACAGACGGAGGCGTTCCCTATATCCCTTCGAATTTGATCATAAAAAAATACTGATCCGCAGTTACAATTTCAAAACTAAGGCTGTTACAAATCATAAAAAACTTTTATAGGTAGAAACATCCCTGAGAATTTCAAATGAATCCCTCAAATGGTTTGGCAAGACAAGATTATTCGGGACGCCCGCCTGCCCAACCGCCCGCCTGCCCAACCGCCCGGCAAACAGATTACAATATAGCACCTTAGGGTGCAATAAAAATAAGTAATTAAGTAACGTCTACTCACCATCTTGTTTTGGCACAATGTTGGACAGGCGTGTCAACAACATACAGTAAGGAAAATACAACTCTTTTTGGAAATCTGAAAATAAAGAGACAAAGGTAGCATTTGTGAATTCAACTGCCAGATGACAGTTTCCAGTTAAATTGTTAATGCTAATTAAGTGTTGCATCCACAAGTTTTCTGTCTCATTTAAAGTACACCATGGAGCTAACCTAATATGTCACAGTATGTCAATGTGGGCTGCTACAACAAATGTGACTAAGACAATTAACTCACTGGAGTTGGGTAAACAAGGCCATTTTAAGCCCCACCTGATTTTCAAGTTTTCTCTTTATTTTATTAATCTATGTGATATATGTGTTTCAAAAATGTATGAAAATTTAGGTCAAGGTCATATTCCCCAGGTCAAGGTCAAATTAAAAAAATTCATTATTTTCTACCAAAATATACCTTTTGGGTTAAAATATCACAACTATCTGTAGGAATTTAGTCTCATAGAGGTTGGAATTACAATATATAGTAAATTGGCAATTTGCCAATAATGAGATATTTATATTAATATATTCCGCCCTTCCCACGCAACACTGAAAGAGAACAAAAGTACCTAAAATAATGAAAATACTTTATTATTTTTAATTCATTTAAATTCAGAATGTACATTTCATTATTTTCCTCTGCCAATATCATATTTTCCCTCAGGATAAAATTCATATTCCATCCCTCCCATTATATAACCTCTATGTATTCAATAGCAATATCGCCCAAATATGACCCAGATAATGTCCTAATATCATAGCAACATCAACCAATTGTCAATCAAATGTCACTCTATATCAATCCAAAATAACCCAAGTATTGGCCTCATATTATTTAAGTAACAGTCCAATATCAACCCTCTTATTTACCAAATATCACCCAATTATTCTGATTGTAATAATATCCCACTGTAAATCCAATATCAGCCAAATATGAGCCGAATAATTGACCCAATATGATAGCGATATCACCCCAATATCAATCCAATATCACCCAAATATTGGCCCAATGTGATAGCAATATCACCCAAATATCAAGCAAATATTGGCCCAATATCAATCCAATATCACCCAAATATTAGCCCAATATTATAGCAATATCACCCAAATATAAGCCCAATTCGATAGCAATTTCTGACAAATATCAATCCAATATTAACTTTATATCTGCCCAATTACCAACATATTGCCATTACATAAGCAATATCAAAAAATATAAGTTCTGATATCAACCTGGTGGAGAGGTTAAGCTTTGCATATATAATCGAAACTGAACCTGTACGTATCACTCGACCATATACAAATTCATGTAGCCTTCTCATATAAATAGCCGTTCAAATCCAGTGTTTGTTTAGACTACACCATAGCGTGTAATGATTCTATAGTATGTCATTGATGCGGTTTTATAGCTGGTTTTCTAATACATATTTTAAACGAGCTCGTTTCGTAAGATTTTTGGCGCTAAATCATGCATGACATACATCATCGTGTTCAGCAAGAATTCAACTGTACATCGAAATCAAAATTGACAGCATAGTGTTCAATAGACACGAGTAAAATGGTTCCCGTTGACCCAACGTCAAATTTCAAATCTCCCGTTCTAAACCCGAAACTCTGAAGCTGAAAGAGTATCTGAAGTAGACTAAGCGCGCATAAAACTATGAGCGCTCGATACATTCCTTTGTTAATTTTTGCACTTTGCGTTCACGGTTACGTTGTGAAAAACATCGTTAGCTTAACCTCTCCAATATCACAACAATCTCCTCCCAAATCAAGCTTATATTACCTCAATATCACTTCTATTATTAGTTGCAATAGTCTTGACTTGTGAAGCGTAATCTTCTGTAACCTTTCTCCGTTTTCTAGGAGAATTTACCTGCTTCCCACATATGCAGCATGAATAGCATTTGGCCATTTTGAATAATCAACAAAAAATGGCAGGCAAAATTTTCTATAAAGTTCTAAAATTCACATCGAGCATAATAAGTCTCCATCAAAATTATTCTTTGTATGCAACAATATAACATTTATGTAACTAAAGAAGCACTTATTAGAGTGGAGACTTGTTATGCTCTATGTGAAAACACTCAAAGGATTACTACCTCCAGTCAATAAAAATGTCAACCAGACTCAGCATGAAATGTCCTTTCAAAGCTTTACTTACCTCTAAACTGTACATATTGTTTAAATCAATTGTATGTATGGATCAAATAAATATATATTTACATAATACTGGACAGATAAATCAAAAACATTCATTCATAGCTGAGTAAATTGGAATTCATCAAGAGGGTTGCAAAATATGTGAATTTTTTTCCTTCTGGCCCCCACCCTCTTTGAAGGTCTCCAGACACCGTAACAATTTTTTCTAAATTTTTTTTAAAATACTACCCAAAAATATAGACTTCAATCTATGCATTTCTGATGTTTTTTTCTCCTATTCTTAAAAAAAGTTTTTTCACACTTCAATTGGGGCACTCTCTGTTGCTAGTTTACCCAACTCCTTTTGACGACTATCAGACAGTTTAAAACATTTTTGTAATTTCTACAAGACAAACCAGAAATATTTACACAATAAACACATTATTATTTACACAATTTACGCATTGTATGGGTTTCAACAGGTGTTAACTTCAAGGTGTTAAATAACAAAACATCACCACCAGGTTGAACACATTATCTGGTAATAAATATAGCCTACAAAACATATTTTGATAATTATTGGCCATCTTGAAAATTTCTTCTTGAACAGATCATGTCAGCATACAAAATGTAAACCAAATCCATACACTGGTATTTGAGTTATCAAAAAAAATGGCAGGTATTTTTAAAATCAGTGGAGATCTTGAAAATCTCTTCTTGAGCAAAGCTACTTTTTCCCGAGACATCAGTGTATAAAATTAGAATGAAATCCGGCAAATACTTATTTGAGTTATCAAAGATTACATTTTTTACGAAAAATGATGGGCATTTTGAATCGAGTGGCCATATTGAAAATTCCTTCTCGAGCAGATATCCAACACCCATAAGGCATATAAGCCTATAAAATTTGAATTAAATCCATCAACCAGTATTAGAGTTACCACCTGGCAGACACAGATGGACAGCAACTCCAGAGAGTAGAAAATCCCATCCAACAAAACATATTTTGATAAATAGCAGCCAATCTTGAAAATTTCTTCTTGAGCAGAACTCTTTTATCAACTTTGTCCCTAGGCATGAGCATATAAAATTTGAACCAAATCTGTCCACTGGTATCTTTTAGAACAGTTCTAGTAAAGTCCTTATTGGCAACTAATCTCGACATTTCTCCTAAGAACTTACCTTGACCATTCTTCAGAACAGCTGTAGCAAAGTCCCTATTGGCAACTAGGTGGACGAGTAAAGGTTCAACTGCGATTAAAGCTTGTTTTTCTGTCTCACATTTCAGAGGATCTGGTATGTTTGGTGTATGTAAACTTGGAGGTAACCACCTATAATACAATGGGGATTCATCAACGGTGTATTCCATGATACAACATGAAATTCATTTAGTGCATTGCAGAGTTAGCAGTATAGACAAGGTTTGCTAAGATATTCTATGTAAAACAGCCACACTCTTCTTTCTAAAATGACTCAAATGGCATAATTCTGGGACACATTCTAAGTTTGCTTGTGTTTTTTAATTGTATCAAAAGGTATTCACTTTAATTATCATACAAACATATTACCATATAATAAATGACCCTAATGCTTCATTAGGAAATATGATGATGCAATATTTAACCTTTTAAACTTTTTTGACACAACTCAGTAACCAATCAGAATTATCTGGGCTACATTTAAGAGATTTCCAGTGATTTTGACAATCATTATAACTATATATTTATATTATAAAACAAAAGTTCCTCCCATTTTCCCAAGCCACCATAAAAAACCACCGCCATAAAATTTGTAATATTTTATTGCTCACATACTGTATGCCTTACTTCTTTCTTTTATGAATCTGGCACATATAATACTAAAATCCAATAACAAAATTGTAAATTCATTAACGATATGCATATTTTTTACTTAATACACACTTTATACATTAACCACAATGAGAAACCCCGTTTTTATTTTTGAATACAGTATTCAATACAGTTTTCCTAAATATGACTGGACATGCTACCTTATCATTGTGAGAATGAGATGATAAAGCTGCTGATAACAATCGCCAAGGTAACCATCATATTCCTTCACCAGCATCACTAAGACTTTCATCTGAAACCCTAGGATCTTCATACCCTTCATGTATGCTTTCTCATCACCACTAAATATCACCTGGAAATATACAAAGCGATAAATATGTATCATGATGGAAATACACACGGTGCTCACAAGATATCACATGGAAATACACAGGGTGATAACTAAATATCATATGAAAATACAGAAGGTGAAAACTAATATCAAATGGAAATATAAAGGGTGCTCACTCAATATCAAATGGAAATACAAAGGGTGATAACTAAATATCATGTGAAAATACAGAAGGTGAAAACTAATATCACCTGGAAATATACTAAGTGATAAATATGTATCATGATGGAAATACACAGGGTGCTCACTTAATATCACATGGAAATACAAAGGGTGATAACTAAATATCATTTGAAAATACAGAAGGTGAAAACTAATATCAAATGGAAATATACAGGGTGCTCACTCAATATCAAATGGAAATACAAAGGGTGAAAACTAATATCAAATGGAAATATACAGGCTGCTCACTCAATATCAAATGGAAATACAAAGGGTGATAACTTAATATCATGTGAAAATACAGAAGGTGAAAACTAATATCACCTGGAAATATACAAAGTGATAAATATGTATCATGATGGAAATACACAGGGTGCTCACTTAATATCACATGGAAATACAAAGGGTGATAACTAAATATCATTTGAAAATACAGAAGGTGAAAACTAATATCAAATGGAAATATACAGGGTGCTTACTCAATATCAAATGGAAATACAAAGGGTTGATAACTAAATATCATGTGAAAATACAGAAGGTGAAAACTAATATCAAATGGAAATATACAGGCTGCTCACTCAATATCAAATGGAAATACAAAGGGTGATAACTTAATATCATGTGAAAATACAGAAGGTGAAAACTAATATCAAATGGAAATACACTAGTGTTCACGAGATATCACTTGGAAAAATATACAGTGATGAATAACACATGGAAATATAAGAGAACTCACTAGATATCTGTAATGATTTCAAAAGATTAAATTAAATAGACAACAATGTGAAATGTAAAACATGTTTTCATCAATACTCAGACTACACTCAATATTCAATAGAAGTCTTCATGAAAATAAGTTTGGTAAAAAGTAAATAACTTTGTATTGGATCAAAACTAACTTTAAGAATTTAACAAAATTCATGAAGAAACATGACTGATTTGGCATAAGGCTAAAGAAACAAAAAATTCTTCATAAAATTGTGACATTTTTTGTTAGGGAGGAATATTAACTGGTTGATATAAAGCCAGGATATAAAGTAGTTATTCATCAGGATTTCATATCGGGAATATCACCCCTCGATATCATCTGACAGATATTCCCCATATCACCCCGGCCGACAAGTGGATAACAACCTTATTAATTAGAATACCATCAGCAACTAAAGCCATGACAACCCTACGGGGCATTACAATACTGTAATAAATAAATACAGGTAGTAATAATAATTATCACATCTACAAATATCCTCATTCTGCTATAAAAGGCCTACCTCAGGCACTGCATCAGAACAAATACTTTCAACAAGCAGAGAACAACTCTAACTTCACATGAAAATGAACATAGAAAATATGACAAAGCTTTTCTTGATTCTTGCACTAGCATATCTTATGGCTGACATGGCGTGTGGAGCGGTACTCAGAAAAAACGGCAGTAAATCAGATGTGCATGCAGCAACTAAAAAGTCGGAAGATGGAACAGAAAAGCAACAAGGTGTTATTGTTACTGAGAGAGACTACAAAAATGAGATGCATACACTTCGACAACTTGTTAAGGCTTCCCAAAATGACTTTCCGAAACATATGCATCAGCTGGAAAAACTGGTCGACCAATATGTTGATGCTAACAGAATTGAGACATCAAGCGTTACAGTTCCAATCGCTAGCATGAGAAGAAGACGTAGTATCCACAAACGACACTCCAAGCGTCATCATAAATCTAGGCAGGCGAAGCATCGCAGATATGAAATGTGGGTGTGGCGGTCTATGATGGGTGGTTTCCCTATGTTTCATGATTTCGATGAGTCTGCATTTACAAGTGATGACCATTCCAGGAGTCGAATCCCTCGTTATGGCTAGATGAAAACAATCGCTAAGTTCCTCAATATAGACTTACCACTCTTCCACTACATCTTGAGGACATCAATCTACTTTATATGCACTAATTGCATTTATATGTGCCCAAGATAAATTTTGAGGGTAATTTTGCTCAAGATATTGAACATTAAACTGTAAAAGAGCAAAACTTATTAAAAAGACTTTGGAAGTCTGAGTCTGATATAATTCAAAGTTACTATTATTGTACAATGTACAAGTTATAATTTTAGATGTTTAAATGCTAAAAAAGTAAGTTTCATACTTAAATACTGTACATACAATGTGAAACAAATATATATATGTAGAGTTCATAATAAGTAATTGTTTTTATTTATCTTTAATCTTTATTTAGTTTCTGAGGTTTTCAGCAAGATAAATGTATGTATGCATTTTGATTTATTTCAATTGATAAAGTTCATTATATTTTTGGTTTTTTGATATAAACTAAATTTTGCGTTGATTTAAAGTGATTGTTAAATGGCAGTCAAAACCCCCTTTAACTTCTACTTAGTGCAAGTTGCAACACTTGAGTCGTTTTAACTGCAAAACTAGTGATACTACCAACAAAACATGATTAACAAGATGAAACCGTCAACTTCTGAAAGGTTGCCCAAACTTTTTCTCTACATTTTACAGTCACATGACATGATTCTTTATCATATTATCACAAAATACAATTTTGACAATAAAACCTTGGTCTGTACTGTGAGGCGAATTTAAAAAAGTGCAAACTAAAGCGAACTTGCAAAATGTCACCACCTGCCATTTGTTACAGATACCAAAATCTGAACGCTGACCGCTAAATGCCTAACACCATCCATAAAGGAGTTGGAGACTATTTCAATATGTCACCACTTGTGGCGGTGACACATTAGAGAGTTTAAGCTTGCATAAAAAATAGAAACGCCAACCTATACGTATGACCAATCGCCCTTACAAATACATCGCTTAAATATTTTCCATAAGTGTTTAGGTTGTAAGAACATTGCTTTCCTGTTATCTAAAAATCTGCTTGGAACTATACCATTGGATTTCTATGGGAAATTCCTCCAAGTGAATATTCTAGAGATTAATGAATGTGTTTGGTTTACACAATTCGAGAAATTATTGGCATGCATGAAACATATTGAAAACAGCATTTATCTTATTCAAAAGGATTGATTATCAAAGGATCCCAGCCCTCTATAGTTTGAAAAATGAAAATACTTGGGTGTTTTCCTCAGAAAATCTTTGAAAATATTTCAAAGATATGGAGCGGGGTTGGACCATTCACGTGACCTAAGTCCTGCCTTTATTTTAGCTTATATGGCAAATTATCCAGGCAACTGTTAAGTCGTCAAATGATGTGTTTGTGATTCAAAGATATGACGTACATGTATCACATAAACTATGACATCAGTCACATATTTAACCTAATAGGTAACTATAGACAAACAAATAATCGTAACATCAAACATTTAGTTTGTTCTTTGTTGATCTCTGTGGTCTTTTCATAAAAAGTGGATCAGTTTTCTCCATAGCATATATATTTGTATTTTTCTTCACTGGATTATCTTGTGATTATTTTGTGAAATCTTATATAAGGTCAATAAAAGGTTTTATTTTGTATTGATGTTTTTGAGATGAAAATAAACATCAGCGAAATGCATGAAACAAAAGCTCACCATGTGAGCTAAAAACACCCCGCTTCATTCTACATACAACTTGTGGCCCTTTGATGACAAGATTTATGAAAAAATTCAAAACGGCCACCAAGTAATTTACCGATCAAACCGAAAAATTAAAGTCACAATAAATGGAATACAATCAAATTTCTCACTTCCTGGTCAAATAAATGCAGGTGTCCCTCAGGGCTCAATTCTTGGACCGTTATTATTTTTAATCTATATAAACGACTTGCCAGATGATTTAAATTCCCTTTGCTTTCTCTATGCTGATGATACATCACTTTATCATCCATACTCCAAAAATGATCCTAACTCCATTGACCTTTTACAAGATGATTTGAACAAACTTTCTGAATGGTCAAATACTTGGAAAATGGCATTTAAAGCAGCAAAGAGTGCTGATCTCATTTTCAGACGACCAAGAAGTACTTTAAATAATATCCCTGATTTGACACTGAATGGTGAAACTCTGCCAAAAGTAAATAGTCACAAACATCTAGGTATGCACCTGGATGACATTCTAAATTTTGACGTGCACATTGAAAACTTATTGAATAAAGTTCAAAAAATGACAAATCCACTTCGTGCATTGAGCCATAAACTTAAAAGTAAACATCTTTCTAGGATAGCGGAATCATTTATACGGCCACATTTTGACTTTCATGACATTATTTATCATACTGGTAACAAATTAACTCTTGACCGACTTGAGAGACTCCAGTACAGAATTGCATGCATTGTATCAGGGTGTTTACATGGCTCAAATACAAATTCGGTATTGAAATTACTAAATTGGGACAAACTTGTTGACCGACGTAAATCACACATAGCAACGTTTATGTACAAATTATCTTTAGGTCAAATGCCATCTTATATATCAGAAATTTTTCAACAATATAGACCAACCAGATTACATATGCAACTTAGAAATCCAGTTGATTTTCACTTACCTACTAATATATCAGCTAAATTTAGAAATTCCTGTATCTTTTCATGCATAAATATTTGGAATTCACTCCCACTTGAATTGAGATGTCAACCAACAATATCCACCTTTAAAAATCATGTCAAAAGAAACTTCTCAACCCAACCAAAGATATTTACAAATTGTCAAAATATTGATATTGATAGATTTTATGAAATTAGTTTGAACAGGCTTAGAGTAGGATTTCTTTTAAAATCACATAAATATGCTCATAACTTTCCTGGAATTTTGGATGACCTCTGTCAATGTGGAAAACCACAAACTACTGAACACTTTTTCCTTCACTGCAACCTACATATCAATGAAAGACTAACTCTACTTGCAAAACTTTCAGAGCTAAATGCAATTGAAATTTTTCTAGATTCAAATGTTCGAAACAAAATTGAATTTCTACTAAATGGAAACGACGAACTAAATATTGAAGAAAACCAAGCTGTGCTGCAGATTACTGCCAATTTTGTATTCAGCTGTAAATAACTATTTAATTTGTTTTCTGCTTATTGCCTAAACACCCCAGACAGAAAACCTGACACCACCCTTTAGTTTTTTTTGTTTTTTATAATTTTACTATGTTTGTTAAATAAAAACTGCCACCAATGTTTTTCAACTTCGGCAGTCATTACATGTGTAATTTGTATGTACTAAAATTGAATAAAGAAGAATAAAAAAAAAAAAAAAAAAAAAAAAAAAAAAAAAAGTAATTTACCCAGCATGCCCTAAGCTTAATCGCCGCACTAGTCTGCTCTTGCATCTGTAAAAATTTCAAGTTTAAAATTTCACTTTTTCAGACCTCATTGAGTCTTTTGTAATTATGCTGACCAAAATTTGAATCCAAGAAATCCATTTAGAAAATAAACTTTTTGACCTTTCGAAGATCACTGAGGGTCGTCAACTAAAGGTAAAATCTCAATTTAAGGCCAGATTTGAACTCCTGAGAACTTTAAGATAATTTTCAAAAAAAGATTTGGTCAGTTTGAAGCAAAAAAAATTTCAAGCTCCTGGCATTTTGATAACAAGATTTATGGAAAAATTCAAAATGGACGCCAAGTTATTCATCGGCATGCCCTGAGATCTTGGCACTAGACTGCTCTTGCATCTGTAAAAATTTCAGGTTGAACAGGTAAGTGAATGGTTGAATCATTTGCACAAGAATAAGGAGTGGGATGTGGACCATTTAATGGTGGCTACCATGAAAACAATAAGTTAGAGAATGTATTTGTAAGTTAAATTGAAAAGTTCCTGTTCTGACATGCATTTAAACTATTTTCATTTTAATTAAATTTGCTGTTTTGTCTCATATCTAATCTTTCATTTAAATAAATCACATCAATTCTGCAAGTCAATTACGCATACCCTCTGTAAAGAAAAAAGGTGCAATGTCTTTTACCCATCATATCTTTTTTATTTTTTTGTTATTATCAGACCAAGCATTATGATGTATGTATACTTCGGCCAAATGGAGAAAATTTCAAAGAATTTCGTAAATATAGTAAAAAAAAGTTAGAAAGGATTGAACAGAACAACTCCCAAAATCGTGAGTGTGACTTTTTACCATAAATTGACGTCATAAATTCGAGAAATCCTATACCGAGCAATATGGTCCTGAAGGGGATCTTCTGAGTCATAAAGTTAAATTGTTAGTTACGTTTAGAAGAATACAATATTTTAAAAAGTTTTCAATCCAATAAAACTTTGTGAAAAATATCAGTTATATAATAAAAGTCTGAAAAATTACAACCATTTTGTTATAAAATTGGAGGTAATATCCTTCAGATTCAGAGGTCTCTTCTCAGTTCAAAATTAGGGGTAGGGGTAACATATATTACAATAAACCGGAAATTGTAAGATAATTATAACCCTTAATCTTTCTCAATGACCCATAAATATGTTATACATCTTCTACTTAGCTTATGCATACCAAAATTTATGTCAGATGTGATATATAAATGTGTTTATTGAGCAAAATGGTTACATCCTATCTCTAATTTCACTGCTATCTTAGGCGTAAAATTGTCTAAAAATCCTGTTTTAGGCGGGTTTTGGCACTTCCATAAGTTTCTGTCAGTGTGTCAATGTTTATTTCAAACCTGCCAGTTATGACCAGTTTGGGATGGGCTTTACAATGGTATGAAGAGTATAGCATATAGAGAATAATGTCCTTGCCTTGTAGGAAAATGTATTACACTGTATAATAGCAAATTGAAATTTATGACTTAATTTAATAAGGAAAACGTCACATTATTGAGTTTGTGAGACAATGTATTTAACTATTACTTACTTTTTTAAATTTAAATTTTCATTTCACTTTTACAAATTTCCACCAGTTATTCACAATATTTACACCATGTGCCTCCAAGAGTTTAGTAATATCATACAAAATTTTGAAAATGTTATGAATGATAAAAGACCATGCACCTTTTTTTTTCTTTACAGAAGGTAAAATAATTATGAGACAATGACACAACCGATAATAAATGATAACCTACCAATTACTTTACTACTTATATAAACATTATAAATAAATAATAGATTTACCCACCATTTGACGCATTCACACATTGCACACTCGCATGTTGAAACGTCAATCGCCATATTTACATGTCAATTAACATCAATTAATGATTTAAGTAAATAAACGTTCAATAACCTTATCATCTCCACTGCACTAAGTCAAATTCTTTTGCTATCATATTTGTTATATTTTTCAGAATAAAAATCCCTTTCCAAAATTGATATGTTGGTAAGATTAGAAAATTTGATATCTCATAAATAATGGGAAGTACTGTCCCCTCTCAATTAGTTTTTCCATGGACCTATTTACAACTATCCCCTTAATATTTTTAGACTCAACTTGGCAAGTAAATATTATGAGGGGAGAACCCAGAGGACCATAATTCTATACATTTACAAACATGTTTTCTTAAAAACCTGTAGATTAACCTGCTATGTACTAACCTGTCCCCTATTGTCTAACTGGGTTGCTAATTGTAGAAGATTATATTCCAAACTGGACTCAACATCTGAGCAGAGGGCTCTTATCATCATAGCAACATCAAGTTGTTGTTTAACATCATCCTTATACTGACAAGCAATTCTGGAATGACAAACAACGCAAAATTTATGCTGACAAGCAAGTCTTGGTGGTCCTACAATAAATGATACATAATATTTGAAAATATGCATGAATCTATGAAACGGTACTGAAGTTTAAGCAAAATTGTCTGATTTTGACAAAGCAAATGGTAGCCATTTTGAATTGGAGCTCATTTTAGAACAGAAGCTGTAAACCTAAAATCATTCTTATGTTAGACAAGACCAATGTTTGTAATGAGGTTTCACAGTCAAAAACAATTTCTTTTAAAAAACTGCTGGCTATAATGAATAATAGAACTCATTTTTATTTTCATTTTTCCACATACCATACACATCCACACACATTTGTGTGAAATTTATATATATGCCATAATTCTCATGTAATTTCTTGGCACTGTGCACTAAACTAGAGTTGAATTACCTGGACTAAGCCGAGACTTTGAATAACATACATACCTAGAGATTGTCTTTAGCAGTGTTGCCATAATTTTTACATCAAGGTTGCTTGCAATCTGACTAATATGAAACAAGCCTTCAAGAACTGAAACAGCAAGAATAATACAAATATCAACATTTGAAGATTTTTTGTCAGATGATTTTTGCAGAATATCAGATGGTTCAAATGTAAAATAATTCATGCTATCAAGCAATTGCTCTCTGCAATTTTGATGCAATTCTCACAGTCACACATTAATTTTCAAATATGAATTCTTCCTTCCTCACTTTGTCTACATCTTTCAGTTTTGCACAAGTGTGCACTAATGTACATGTTAAAAAAAAAATAGAAAATACTATAAAATGTATAAAAACGAGAAAATTCAGTGACCTACTTTTTAAGAGCACAAAAAGTAGGTCATTGACATACATTTAAAATTTCTCAGTAAATAATTTTCTTTCTATTTTTAACAGCTACTTGGAAAATGAAATCTCTATATCATATACTTCAGCTTTTTTGGATGAAGGAAAAAAATTATTTCTGTTTCATTTGGGTACACTTTTTCTGGGACAAACTTTATTTACCATATTCTGGTATTTGTTTGGATTTATACATAAAAATCTTTTTATGCATTAAACTCAATATGCTATTTATTTTGGAGTCAGGTCGATTAATAACTACTAATGTACTTGTTGACTTGGTCCAACCAGACTGACTTGATGTACTCAAAGAAATACAAAAATAAGGTAAATGACTTCAAGGCTATCTCATCAAATGTTCAAAAAAACATCTTGACAGTCCTAGATCATGATAACCAGAACTATATTCTGATTCAAAGCAGCTTCAGGATGGAGTCAAAGTATCAAGGTTCATGTGGAGACGAAATTGCTTTTGTTTGGACAACAACCCCCCTCAAGTCTAGACGTAAGCTTACGTCACGTAAAAAACATTGATTTACGTATCCTATTTCCTGAGTTTATTAGTGGAGAATTTACACATGTTTGCAGTTTGGGGTGCATTCAACTTTTCAAAATGGAAGGTTTTTATTTACCAATATTTGGGACTTGACAACACAAAAAAGGTTTTGGAACTTATTGAAAACAAGTCTTTTTATCGGAACATTGTGCAAAGGAAAGTGGGAACTTATTTTTTGACCCCGCCCGTTACAATGATTACAAGGCATTAACATGACAAAATGTCACCACCTAAAACAATTTGGTCAATTTAAAGCAAGTTGAAAAAATACCTCTTTGACTTTTTTTGACATTGAGAAGGTCATTGAAGGTCAAATGTCAAATGTAAAGTCAGATTTGAACTTCTGAGAACATGTAGATGATTTTGAAAAAAAAAATTAAGTAAATTTGAAGCAAGTTGAAAAAAGACCTTTTTGACCTTGAAAAGGTCATTGAAGGTCAAATGTCAAATCTAAAGTCAGATTTGAACTTCTGAGAACATGTAGATGATTTTGAAAAGAAATTAGTCAATTTGAAGCAAGTTGAAAAAATACCTTTTTGACCTTGAGAAGGTCATTGAAGGTCAAAGGTCAAATCTAAAGTCAGATTTGAACTTCTGAGAACTTGTAAAGTCAAATTTGAACTTCTGAAAAGATGTAGATGATTTTGAAAAAAAAATTTGGTCAATTTGAAGCAAGTTGAAAACAGACCTTTTCTGACCTTGAGAAGGTCATTAAAGGTCAAATGTCAAATCTAAAGTCAGATTTGAATTTCTGAGAACATGTAGATGATTTTGAAAAAAAAATTAGTCAATTTGAAGCAAGTTGAAAAAAGACCTTTTTGACCTTTTTTGACCTTGAGAAGGTCATTGAAGGTCAAATGTCAAATCTAAAGTCAAATCTAAAGTCATATTTGAATTTCTGAGAACATGTAGATGATTTTGAAAAATTTTTTTAGTCAATTTGAAGCAAGATGAAAAAATACCTTTTTGACCTTTTTTGACATTGAGAAGGTCATTGAAGGTAAAATGTCAAATCTAAAGTCAGATTTGAATTTCTGAGAACATGTAGATGATTTTGAAAAAAAAATTTAGTCAATTTGAAGCAAGTTGAAAAAAAGACCTTTTTGACCTTCTGAGAACTTGTAAAGTCAAATTTGAACTTCTGAAAAGATGTAGATGATTTTGAAAAAAAAATTTGGTCAATTTGAAGCAAGTTGAAAACAGACCTTTTTGACCTTTTTTGACCTTGAGAAGGTCATTGAAGGTCAAATGTCAAATTTAAAGTAAGATTTGAATTTCTGAGAACATGTAGATGATTTTGAAAAAAAAATTTAGTCAATTTGAAGCAAGTTGAAAAAAAGACCTTTTTGACCTTCTGAGAACTTGTAAAGTCAAATTTGAACTTCTGAAAAGATGTAGATGATTTTGAAAAAAAAATTTGGTCAATTTGAAGCAAGTTGAAAACAGACCTTTTTGACCTTTTTTGACCTTGAGAAGGTCATTAAAGGTCAAATGTCAAATCTAAAGTCAGATTTGAATTTCTGAGAACATGTAGATAATTTTGAAAAAAAAAATTAGTCAATTTGAAGCAAGTTGAAAAAAGACCTTTTTTGACCTTGAGAAGGTCATTGAAGGTCAAATGTCAAATCTAAAGTCAAATCTAAAGTCATATTTGAATTTCTGAGAACATGTAGATGATTTTGAAGAAAAATATTTAGTCAATTTGAGGCAAGATGAAAAAATACCTTTTTGACCTTTTTTGACATTGAGAAGGTCATTGAAGGTCAAATGTCAAATCTAAAGTCAGATTTGAATTTCTGAGAACATGTAGATGATTTTGAAAAAAAAATTTAGTCAATTTGAAGCAAGTTGAAAAAAGACCTTTTTTGACTTTGAGAAGGTCATTGAAGGTCAAATGTCAAATCTTATGTCAAATCTAAAGTCAGATTTGAATTTCTGAGAACACGTAGATGATTTTGAAAATTTTTTTTAGTCAATTTGAAGCAAGTTGAAAACAGACCTTTTTGACCTTTTTTGACCTTGAGAAGGTCATTGAAGGTCAAATGTCAAATCTTAAGTCAAATCTTAAGTCAGATTTGAATTTCTGAGAACACGTAGATGATTTTGAAAAAAAATTTTAGTCAATTTGAAGCAAGTTGAAAACAGACCTTTTTGACCTTTTTTGACCTTGAGAAGGTCATTGAAGGTCAAATGTCCAATCTAAAGTTAGATTTGAAGGTCAAATGTCAAATCTAAAGTCAGATTTGAATTTCTGAGAACATGTAGATGATTTTGAAAAAAATTTAGTCAATGTGAAGCAAGTTGAAAAAAGACCTTTTTGACCTTGAGAAGGTCATTGAAGGTCAAATGTCAAATCTAAAGTCAGATTTGAATTTCTGAGAACATGTAGATGATTTAGAAAAAAATTGAAGTCAATCTAAACAGTATTTGTTAAGTTATAGGAAGTTGTAAGAAATTGTTACAGACGCCGGACGCCGGACGCCAACCTCCAACCACCAACCACCAACCGCCGTCGCAAAAAAACGGAGACCATAACAATATGTCACCACTTTTGGTGGTGACATAAAAATAAAATGAATGACCCTGTGCTCACACAGTGTAGAACCTTTAGAGGAATGTATATCCTAACTTTCAACAAAGAATATTGATTTGTAGTCTTGAACTTGGATAGCACAATTTGTGACTTAGTTTGATGACCTTGACCTTGAAAATTTTACTTTTTCAGAGCTCAGTAGGTCTTTTGTGATTAAGCTGTCCAAAATTTGAATCCAAAAAATTATTTTCTCAGAAACTGGGCTAACTTGGAAAATGGCGATGACAGGGGCATTATGGATATGCATAAAATGAATGTGGATTTGACTCATTGTGAATAGCAGTTTTAATTTTGTGCATCCATTGTTGATGGATGGGTGGACGGACCAACGGATGGATAGATGAATGGACTGACAGACCAACGAATGGATGGACGCCTAGTCTATCATAGGCTCAATGTGTGAGCCAACAAGACTATGTATGTAGCTGTTGATTATTGGACACGTAAGATTGTGAGACTTACAAAAACAAAACACTTCAATTTTACCCGGGGGTTCACTGTATATAAAACTCTACGGGGGTCCTAGGCTGAAGCCTCAAATATCAATATGTTCCCATACCAATCTGTCAAATTTCAATATGTTCCCATACCAACCAAAATAACGCCCAAATGCCATACCAAATGTCCAAATATAAGACCAATGCCATACCAAATGTCCAAATATAGGACCAATGCCATACCAAATGTCCAATTATGGGACCAATGCCATACCAAATGTCCAAATATAGGACCAATGCTATACCAAATGTCCAATTATGGGACCAATGCCATACCAAATGTCAAAATGTAGGACCAATGCCATACCAAATGTCCAAATATGGGACCAATGCCATACCTTAATTCAAAGTAAATGAAATATAGGATCAATGTCATACAAATGTGCAAATACAGGACCAATCGCCATACCTCAAATCAAGGACAAATGCCATACTGTAGTTGGGGTCATAAATGAATCGAATCGAGTCGAGCGTCCATTTTTATTGGTGGCAAGTTTTGTATTGAAATCACGAAAAATCTCGCGAGACTTCATCAAAGGCTATGATTGGCAACTACTGGACCAATGCCATACCACAAATGTTAGGTAACGTATCTACAACGACCATTCTCATACCAGAAGAGCAAAAGTCTGACCATTGCCATACCTCAGAAGTCAGAAATACCAAATCCTAAAAAAATATGGGTCCATTGCCATACCAAACGTTGAAAAAGATACCCCACATGTGCCGAGGATCCCCGTCAAGGTTTATATATAGTGAACCCCTCGGGCAATTTTATAATATTCTTAATCTACAAATAGTTACTAAGGAGGGAATAAGTCTTCACAGTTCACACATGCCAACTACCGGTATATTTATACCTGTACTTGAGATCACATTAATTATTCGTTTGACTTTAGAATTTGGACATTCCCACAGGGGTCAGCCTGCAATATTTGCTTAAATTATATCACTTTACTATACCTAACCCCTAGAAATGCATAAGACACTCTGTTTGTCTAATTGCATTGTTTAGTATATTTTTGAAAGTACCTTATTAACATCTAACTTTCAACCGATAAACCATTAACAAGGAAAGCCAAATAAAAACAAATAACATAATCTTTACTAATAAGCCAAATCTGTTGCTCATGAACACCAAATGCAAAGTACACTCCCCTCCATAAGTTTGGCAAACTTTTGCCCCCATTGAACTACGTGTTAAAGCCTCTTTACGTTTGAATTTTTATTTACTTAATCGGCGATGAAATAACTTATGATATTGATTTTCTCAATTTTTTTCCTCAATTACAATAGGTCGAAAATTGATGATAAATTTGATGAATTTTTGTCGTCATTCCCATGTAATCCAATGGGAAATGGAGGGTTCGGGGCAAATCAGAATATCTTTTCAGTAAAAGATTCAGCAAAAAATTTTGATATAGAAAATTGAATTGTCTAACTTTTTTGAACACTAAGTGTTTAGTTCATTTGATGAATATTAAAGTTACAGCGCTTCAAAGTCATTTTTGAAAATAATTTTTCGCCTCCTGTGTTATTTCAATGGGAGAGGTTTTTTGAAAAACAATTTTGACTTTAAAGTCCTATAACTTTGTTGAACCTGAAGAAACATATCAATTTTTTGTTAAATAAAGTTAGCAAATTCAATTGCCTGCCTAACTCGTATTTTTTGCAAAGACTCGGATGGATGGATATTCTGTCATATGACTTGCGGCAAACCTACCATTTCCCATTGGTTAACATGGGAATGTTGATTTTCAAAAATTCATCAAATTTATCATCAATTTTCGACAAATTTCAACATCTTTTTACACATAACTTCAAAAATATTCCAAATGCCAAATGTAAATGTGGTCACTCTACTGAATCAACCAAACACCTATTGCTCCATTGCCCTCTTTTTAACATTCAAAGACTCAATTTTCACAGAGAACTAGGGGGACTGCCATCCTTTAATTTAAACTCTTTTAATAATAGAAAACAGGAAGACAGGGTAGACTTTCTACTTTTTGCAGGTTCTTCTCTTGACACAATTACAAATAAAAAGGCTATTGAATTAACAGCCGAATTTTTACACTCCATTGTCAAGGAAGTTAAATAGTCCAATATTCATTAATATGTACATATATCTCTGACCTGTCTTCACGTTTTCACGATTATTTTCATGTTCATAAATATGTTTTATATCTATCATTTTTACATTGTGACCTATTTTAACCTATATTGTAACTACCTTAACAGGGCCAATAATGCTTCGGCGTAGGCCCTGTATCTGTTTGTATGATGTATTATGAAATAAAGGAAATATAAAAATTTAAAAAAAAAGAAAAAAAGTAACTTTAGATTGGCTATCAAATCTTGTAAGGTAATTTATACTCGAGATAATTAAAATACCAAGTGTTAATGTATTCATGGGCATCAATAGAGATTGAATGCCCATGATGTAATTAATGGCTTTTTGTGTAAATTAACAGCTTTCTCATCATCATTTCTAAATTCATACTTCCTTATTTTGCATTAATCAAGCTAGTTTTTATTAATAACAGGTTCCTTATTTAATGCTAACACATTGAGTAAACTTGAGTTCGTTATTGATGTCAGAACAAGTTTTATATTACTCATAAAAGGCTCATGATTTAATGCTATAACACATTGAGTTCCTTATTCAAGTCTGGACAAGTTTCATTTTACTCATAAAAGGCTCATGATTTAATGCTATAACACATTGAGTTCTTTATTCAAGTCTGGACAAGTTTTATATTACTCATAAAAGGCTCATGATTTAATGCTATAACACATTGAGTTCTTTATTCAAGTCTGGACAAGTTTTATATTACTCATAAAAGGCTCATGATTTAATGCTATAACACATTGAGTTCCTTATTCAAGTCTGGACAAGTTTCATTTTACTCGTAACAGGCTCATGATTTAATGCTATAACACATTGAGTTCCTTATATTCAAGTCTGAACAAGTTACAGTTTTCCAAATTCTATTCAACATTCTTTAAAATCCCTATTTAACTCATAAAAAGTTCCTTATTTCAATCATAACATATTCAGTTCCTTATTTTACTCCCATCCTCCTTTTTGACTCACGCAATGTACCCATCAGAGGTTTAATGATTCATGTACATACAACAGGTTTCTCAATTTTATATACAAAGTTAAAGTTATGCATACATGTATTTCCTAAAGGGGTCACTTTGTATCAAATGGATGTCGTAAAACATGTATTGCGTATGTATTGCACGTATTGCACACTTTTATCCAATACGTTCTCCTCAATTTTCTACGTACATAATGCAATTAAATAATTTTTTGTTTCGCTAATTAAACAAAAATGGATTACAAATATCTATAAGTTACCTCAATGATGACAAAATGCAGTCACTCAACTTGTGCAGTGAGGACATTACCCTATCAGTTAAAGGACACATATAAGAAAAATTGAGATATTTTTGGGCTGTGAGGCAAACTGCTCCATCGGAAAAAAATAAATGACTGGTAAGATGGGACAATGTGATTGAAACATTAGATAACAATTATTAAAACACAATACGCACTTTCAGGGATTTATTATTTTACTATGATAGGAATACTTAATAAAAAAATTGTATTGAATTATACTGTATTTCATTTTATCACATGGTAAGGAGTTTTTAAGCATTTTGATTGGTCAATTGTGATGATGCATATTCCGTATCATATAGCATGTGACTCATTTTTCATGTGATACGGTGGATTGTATCACTACGGAGTCAATAGCAACGATATGACATCACTGGTTATATAACTTCGTAGCTGGAGACAACAGTGTGACGTCATATTATTCCAAAGCGAAATCACAAAACACGTAAAATAAGTATTATACAGATACTAGCACCAAAATTAGGAATACAGATATTATGTTGAACATAATCAGAACTGACCAAATTAAAATGCTTAAAAACTCCTAGACATAAAATCGTCATCACATGTTTCAGCTTATGTGATACAGAAAATATTCCACTTGGGTAACAATGTATCACCACTCAAGCTTTGCTTTCGTTGATGATACAGTGTTACCTTTCTTGGAATATTTCCTGTATCACATGCTGAAAAGTGTGATAACTGATAGTACTTCAGTATTATATTGCATCATATCTAAGGAATAAAGACCTTAATTTTATGATTTATTGGAGCAATATATGACCAAAAGTTTTATTCTGTTCATTGTTAAAAGACCGAAATCGCATAGCGATTGAGGTCTTTGGCAATGGCCAGAATAAAATTTGAGGTCATGTATTTGCCATAAATCATAAAATCAAGGTCTTTTTTGTTATAATTCTAATATGATAAATAGACAAGAAACACAACTATTTGCATTTATGAATTTTACAGGTCATACATACTCCAATTTAGACCAGTAAATCAATAGTTCTATCTATTGTGACGTCACATATCAAATTAGAATGTTTCTTATTGTATGAAACTGTATTCTACAGTGTTTTATCTATTATTCATGTTAAATTATATGTTATCAGATCATATCATATTGTATTGAATTCTATTGTATTGTATCCAATTGTAGTAAATTTGTATTAAAATGATTGTATTAACTTGAATCCTTGTGATAAGTCTTTGAATTAAAATATGTACTGCAATACTGCAATAACAAAATTGTATTACATCCTTAAGAAATATTTTGCAAAATATTGTAGCATTTTTGCATTGTGTTATATCTATTTATTCTTAGTATTTTGTTTCATCAAACAATAATAATATTTTCACAAGTTTATGACCCATTGTCTATATGGATGTATGAGTTCCATGCTTAAAATACTGCATCAAAAATTACTAAAGAACATTTAAATATTAAATTACATATACTTTATCATTGAGTTATTTTCAGGATCCCTGGAATATAACAACTGTAAATCTAAAGTCATGAAGAGTACTTAATCATTCTTTTGTTTACCTCCCTTACAACAGCATCTACACATGAGGCGACAACTAATTTTGATGATTTGATAAAATATGAACGCTATAAAAATCATAAAGACAAGAATGTCTAGCATTAACCATTGATACCAGGGCATATCCAAAGAAATGGGTTTAAGATGCGACCCTCCAAACTTGAGCACATGGTTCACCCAAAATGCCATTTCATCTTGTGGATTAGGGAGGTCTTTCAAAATGGCTGCAGCCTTTAGAAGGTTTTCTTTATAGGATTTATTGTCAATCAGTTCATTAATGTTGTCCACCAGTTCATTGGGAGTAAAATTATTGATATCAATCATCAGGCCATAACCACGGGCCATTGCTTTGTATGCATTGTGCCTTTGATCACCTGCAAGGGGTACATAAAGCATAGGGACTGATCTAGCCACAGCCTCTAATTGTCCACTATTGCCGCCATGAGTGATAAACACTCTGGTCTTGGGATGCCCAAGGACATCACTTTGTGGTATCCAATCCATTAACATCACATTTTCTGGTTTATTCGAAAGTTTGGCTCCTTTGGACCTCATTACAACTCGTTGTTTTATCTGAGAAAACCCAGTCATCAATTTATCCATGATATCTTCAGGAATGTGATGTACACCAGAGCCAAATGTCATCAGAATAACACCATCCTTAGCGCCATCTACAAACTTCGCGAGATCACCTGTCAGAGGCGTGACTGGTTTTACCCCAACGCCACCTATTATTCTGTAGGCTGGATGTGATACATGGGGAAAGTCCAATATGTGATGCTCCATATTCACTAACCACATTTCAGATTTCAGATATAGTTCAGACTGCGTCAAAGCTGGCTTATTTGGAACATGTTTGGTTATTAATTCATGGAAACGTGACTTTGAAACTGGAGGTGTGAAGGTGTAAAAACACACGGTCATTATTGTGTTCAGTACACGCTCAAAAAATGTCATCTTATCTGATGCCTTCAGGAAGAGGAAAGATTCTACTGATGGTAATGAAAGGACTCCCGCTCTCCAAGGTTCTGGTACAGGGCTCAGTTGAAGGAATGGTATACCATGTCTGTATGGTAGAATAAGGAGGATCCTATTAAGCATGGCCCCATCACATACAGCAAGGTCAAACTTTGAATCATCAATTCTTTTTTCAAGCTCTTTGTCTTCCAGCAATTTAACATGATCACCCATGGCTCCATTCATGAGATCATTACTGACTTTATACAAGTCCCAATTAGTACCATTAAACACAGTAGCCTGGAGTCGTTCATCAAGGTCACTGTTTTTCCAATGTGAAGGAAAATTGTAGAACCACTTTTCGATTGTTGTAAATTTCGTGAGTATTTTCTCTGTCCTTGGGGCACATAATATAGTCACCTCATGACCTTGAGTTGCCAGTTTTTGTCCTGCAACAGCTAGCATGTTAACATGGTTAAGATGGTCTATGGGTAGGAGTAATATCTTTGCAGCGCTAGCATCGAACACTTTGTAAGTTAATCCCATGATTAACACTGCCAAACATCTGTTCAAGTTATCCATAGTGAGGTATATCCACAGAGTACATGTACTGTATTTCTCTCTGATATATTGATCTTCTTTCTGTTACTGTACAGTAACTTCTGCAGACTAATCTTGGCATGTAACTATGAATAACTTAACCATATAAATGGTCTCTAACACCTTGTGTGTAGAGTATTGTATGAATGCTGTAAATAAAGTCCATAGGGTGCTCCAATCTTTACTTATTCAATAGTAAACTGATAAATCCTTGCACTTGAGTCAATATACGGGTATAGCTTATTACCAAGCTGGTGCATTGGATATATGGCTGCTGATGTTTACTGTAAACTTGTGTTATATTTGTTTAACAACCATGTCTGCCAAAAGTGAACAGTTATTGAACCCAAATTGACCTGTGTAGTATTGGGATTATATTTCACTTGATGCCAATATGTAATTTCTAAACTCATGGACATATTATAGACACTAAAGTGAATTTTTTGATGCTGAGAAATAAGAACTTATTAATAGAAACTTGAAAATTAATAAATAAAGTTGTAAAGATGATTTTATTGCCTTGACTGTTAATGATTTCTATAGTATTGCCTTATTGCATAATAAATTCCATAAAAATACATAATATAAGGGGTTATTATTTTTAGGCATATTTTAGCATATGTTGATATTATCCCCCCTTTAGGGTGATATGTTATAAAAATAACAATAGAGTCTTAATAGCTCACATCAGAGAGAACATGTTGTTTCAGGTATAATGTATAAAGTATAAAGTAATGTATTAATGTATAATGAAACCATAGAACTATGAAAACTAGGTGTTTCTATCACAAACTCACCAAATAGTCAAGTTATCAAAAAATATATATACTTTAGTAGATGTACAATTATACCTGTATAATTGGACTAACTGGACTAATAGTCAAGTAATTCTCCCTTTCGCGATTTGCTCTTTGAATCAGAATGTTCGCAAATACAGTGTGTCTCAAAAAAATGTTACACTTACAAAAGGTTCAATATCTTTCATGATTTTGACTTTTCCCCTAAAATATACTTAGATACCAAAAGACTAGTCTTTCTCTAATAAATCCACACCATCAGATTGAAAATCCGCCCATGATTGGCTGTACAGGACAGATTTTATAGACGCATGTGAAATTTGATTTGCGCCAATTTCTCAGTGGTTGGACATGTGGTGATACATTATGTTTTGGTGTGAATGCTGTGGACAGTGTGATATCTTATTATCAATGATCCAGTTGTTTCTTTCCTGGATAGAAGTACAAGATTTCACTGTCGGAGTGTTCAATTTTGTTACGTATGATGGCAACAGGATGGTGCAAAGGCCTGTGGCAGATCGTTTGGCAGACTCTTTGGAAATCAGAAGATAGCATTGAATTACCCGATGGATTGGCCCCCAGGGTCATCCCAATTTACACCCTTGATTTTTTGAAGGGCCTCTGAAAGCACTTTACAGCATCAAAAACTGAGCTAAATGAACTTCTGCAAAAATAATTGATGGAATCAGTGTGATATTACAATGCATGTGGGCATGGGCAAGGGTACCTCAGATTTGCTTTGGAGAACATGTTGAGGGGACCGCATGTTTATGTGGATAGACCCAATGATCATATGTAAGACGAATAGGAAAATTACAGAATGACTCAGTTAAAGGTCAAGCTTCTACTCAGAAGAAAGTTAAATGTTAAAGAAACTGTTCATTTGGTCCATCCAATCACTTAAAAGTTGGCGCAAGTCAGATTTTACCATGGGACAATAAAAGCTGTCCTGTGGAGGCAATCAAGGACATATTTTGAATCTGATGGTGTCAAATTATTCGAGAAAGATTTGTCTTTTGGTATCTAAAGTATATTTTAGGGGAAAAGTCAAAATTATGAAAGATATTGAACTTTTTGTAAGTGTAACATTTATTTTGAGACACACTGTATGTACTGAAAAAGCACTCAAAAAGGACAAAATTTGATTGGTCAATATTTTCTCACTATGCATTTCGCGTAGCTATTTGCGTGACCCGAAAGTTCTAAATCAAACTAATTACGCAATTTTGTTTTTACACCCGCATGCTAAATAAAACAATGACAACATCGGAAGTATTCTTCTTTGTCATTGCTTTAATAGTCAGTATACCGAGTTTAATCAATAAAAGATTGTACAATTAACAACAAAATTCGGAAACGAGTACTATAGCTTTGCTTTCGAACCACTGAACAGAGTGACCTAGATAATAGCGACGCTTCTTCTTTGGTCTACTGCTCAGATATTTGTTGGTTTTCAATGTAACTCTATGATGTAATTTGAAGATGAATACTTTTATTCAGTTGTTGCATCGATGTTGCAGTTTGTAGTGCGGTAAGATTGGCATGAAAGTATTGAAAGTCGAATGGAATTGTTTTTTCCAATATGGCGACTAGTCAACTGATCATGTGACCTTCTCTTCCGGAATATTTTCTCACTTTTCAATCATCGTTTTCACCACGCTATGAATCAATACAATGAAAAAATAGCTGTTATATTAAGATTAATAAGAGATCAATCGTTTCTAATATTTTTTTCTGTACCCTCGTACGGGGATATGAACGAATATATCATTTGAAAAATAGGTGTGATAATCCCCATGTTAAACCTATGAGGGAAAACAAGGAAGTGTAAATTTGTTTCTCCGCGAACTGCATCATGGGAAATATTTCGACCTTATAAGGAAACATTTTCGCGTCTCCTCTTCTGAAGAGGGAACAGCGATTTCGAGAATTAAAAAATATATATACTTTAGTATATGTACAATTATACCTGTATAATTAGACTAACTTAAGTTTTAGAGAAAAATTGTTCTACTTAGGTGTACCAATTGTTGAAGTTTCATGTAAATCAAAAGGGTGACAGGTTTTACTATACTTGTGTAACATATTATTTTTGATTGCATCATCAAAATGATGCAAAATTGATAGGATGGGTTAGCTAATAATGGTGTGTATTGCAAAAGCAATATAGGAATGACTACATATTTCATAACTCCCTGAACTCTTGTAATATCTATATATAATCACAGTTGAAATCAAAGGAAAATGAATCAGAATTCCAGAAACCAAAACAAAAATTAAGAAAACCCAAATTCCTAGATTATGATTTCATTAGCTGATAAAAAAAGAAAAGTGTCCTTGATATCAGTTCCAAAACAGTGACAATGACATACAAACCCCTCTACAAGTTTGTGGTTTGGTGTGACACCTCTACTAAACAGCCCATTGGCATTAAGTCACATAGAGGATTGATAAACTATTAAACCCACTTAAATCTCTAAGCAACAAATTAAATGGAAAACACCTGGAATAATCTTCAAATCTTTCATACTTCCAATTGTCGACTATTGCGATATTCTTTATGGTTGTGCAAATATAAGTAAATTAAAATCTATTGATCAATTATACTACACAGCAGCCTGCAATAGATCAATTATACTACACAGCAGCCTGCATTTGCTCAGGTGTACTACATGGAACATCTTCAACAAAAGTCCTTAACTGCTTAAATTGGCCAAAGCTATCTGATAGAAGACAAATGCATAGACTTTTCCTAATGAACCAAGCTTACAACAATAAACTTCCATCCTACATTTTGAGCATTTTTAATCAATAACGTAGAAATCTTCCATCAATAACACGAAGAAGTAGTGACTACCAAATTCCATTATCAAAACCTCAACATTTTAAAATAGATCATGCGTATTTAAATCCATCATTGACTGGGAGTCTCTCCCAACCAAAATTAAAGAATCAACAAATCTAAATATTTTAAATCCAATGTAAAGAAAAAATTAATGACTACTTATATCATTAATTTCTCTGAGATCTCCTTAACAAGGAGCCAAGAAATTTCTCTGAACAAGGTGCGCTGTGATCTGATCTTCCAGTCCCATTTTTACGCTCACAATTTTACAAATGTACCATTCCCTACATGCAAATGTGGGTGTAGCAATGAAACATCCATTCATGTCATGTTCTCTTGTAACCTTATATCACAATATCTTAAAGATTTAGAGGATGCACTTACTCTTCTAAATTTTAATAACCCAGCATTTAAAAACCAGCAAGACAAATTATCATTGTTTTTGTATGGAGACAGAAGTCTGCCAAAAGAAGTTAATATTGAAATTTTAAGGCTCACCTCAGCTTTTATTCAAAGGTGTGCAAGCGAGTAAGTATTTCTTCCACCACCAACTGTATAATTTTGTACACAATTATTAGACTCCAGATGAAATCTGGAGTCTATTGTTTTCGTCAGTTTTCTTATTCTTTTTATTCTTATTATTAGACTCCAGATGAAATCTGGAGTCTATTGTTTTCGTCAGTTTTCTTATTATTAGACTCCAGATTGAAAATCTGGAGTCTATTGCTTTTGCCTGTATTCTTATTATTCTTATTATTCTTATTAGCACGTTTTCTCAGTAACTAGAAGACTTGGAGTAAATCTAATTACATGGTCAGTTAGGGTATGTGACATAGTTTCTGGGAAATTAGGTCAAATTTTTATCTAGGTCAAAGGTCAAGAACTAGGTCAAATCCAGTACTTTGTCACTTTTTTCGCGGTCGTCCTTCAATATTTTCGATCCGGGTTTTTATCATTGTCTTCCTTATAAAAAAGTAGGAAAGCTAGGGTCGATTTAGTTTTTTGATATCTCAAACCGATTTCGAGATATCAGTGTCCGAAAACGAGGTCCAAAAAAAAGTTCTTCAAATCAAATGTCCAGGATATTAGTCTTATAGGAAATTTTCTCAAGATTCCGAATCTGAAAACGAAATTGTGTTCCGACTTCCGGTTCAGGAGTTAACACATTTTGAAATTTCAAAAAAATGATATGATGGTACCCTGATGGCATGTCTACCTGACCGTTAATTTTCTCATTTCTCATTAATATCAAAGTTCAAATTAAGGTTTTAATAGACAATTTTCTCAGGATTCCGAATCTGAAAACAAAACTGAGATCCGACTTCCGGTTTAGAAGTTATGGGCTTCTCAAAAAAAATCCCACCGCTGCCACCAAATTGTAACAATCTCAACCCTTTCATTATTATCAGATCTCAAAATGGTTTTGAGATAAACAATCTAAATCTGGAGTCTTGAATTGAACTTGTTCAATTTCTCCAATCTAGTTATTCTTTTTCTTCTTATTATTATTATTCTAAGCAAGTTTTCTCAATAACCGTAAGGTTTTCAGTAAAGTCAGTCATTTGGTCAATTTAGGTCCAGAATCTAGTTCCTCGGAAATTGGGTCAAATTTTTATCTAGGTCAAAAGTCAAGAACTAGGTCAAATCCAGTACTTTGTCACTTTTTTCGAT